AAGAACCTAACGGATAGCATCCTGAGGTAAATTACACAGATTTTGAGAATACTTTCTGGGTCTATTCTATGATACTAAGGCCTTACCTTCATCGAAATACGCGAGGCAAGATTAGGTATGGGGTTTTCGGGGCCGATGTTCTTTAACCCTCTACCACCACGACCGTTGTTGCTACCTTGGCGTGGTGGTCGTGCTTGCCTATCGTGATGAAGCGACCGAGCTATACTGGCTGGAACAGCCGTTCCTCAAGGTCCTACCATGCCAGACAGGTCGGTTGAAGAGCGGTAAGACTAAAAGCAACAAACACAAGGTTCGAAGGCGAAGTCGTAATGCTGACTGTACAGAGGTGTGACAGCAGTAAGGTGTTTCCTTCAGACAACCAGCATGACAGCGATGCTGCTTTCCCACAAGGAGGGATGCGGTTAGAAAGGGTCGACCCTAAAAATGCACACCTTGTCTCATCCCACGGATATCCGTCTCCGAAAGTAACGTCACAACAAGTACGGGGCTAACATAAAAATTACCAATAAAGAGGTCGTGTGTGACCGACCTCAATCAGTTAACCCTTGGGCACGGTGGTCACGCTCTCAGGTCACTAAGACCACCTCTAATCCAATTTCCTTTTCAGGCACCTCCAGAACAACCCTTCCACGGTGTGGGCAACCGGGAAGTGATAACCGCCCTCATACCTCTAACAGCACTCAAGACCACTGTATTCATAATCGACCTCCCTCTTCAATCCCTATTATTCCTCCTACATAGACTTTCACCTCTAAACTTCCTTTTTCGGCTTCCTCCTCAAGTGTCACCATAGCCAACGATTCTAGTGCGCAAAACACTGTCCCAGGTCTACTGAAACCCCGCTCCAAACTACACATTGGAGCCTTCAACGTACGCAAATCGGTCAACAGACTTCCCTGGCTAAAACCCTAGAATCTCGTACCATTGATGTGTGCTGTGTCTCTGAAACACGCATACAGGATCCCAGTGTGGTCATTCACTTGACCTCACCTCAGCAAAACGGAGAGCCAACGAGATACACCCTCCGTGTATCTGGTGACCCGATGGCCAGCTCTCGTGGACTGGCAGGAGTAGGGATAGCACTAAGCATGAGGGCGGAACAAGCAATGTTAGAGTGGATCCCCGTTAACAGTCGTTTATGTGCTGTTCGGCTAAACGGCTCCGTAAGAACTCGGAAGGATAGGGACACACGTCGTTGCCTTTTTGTCGTTTCTGCCTACGTTCCCACCGACTACAGCTCAGATGAAGTGAAAGATGAATTTTACAGAAAGCTATCTGAACTTCTTCAGCGAGCTAAACGTTCAGACATAGTACTCGCAGCAGGTGACTTTAATGCCCAGATAGGTAGTTTAAACCAAACAGAAAGGCATTTAGGTGGGTATTTTAATATTCCGGCACAACGAACAGATAATGGTGGTCGTCTGTTGCAACTGTGCTCAAACAATCGTTTATTTTTAGCAAACACAAATTTTAAGCATAAGGAGAGACATCGTCTAACATGGCGATCCCCTACACCAAACCAACGATGGACTCAAATAGACCATATTGCCATCAGTCATCGTTGGAGAGGGTCGGTAGAAGATTGTCGCTCATTCTAAGGTACATGCTTGGACTCCGACCACGCCCTAATACGGGCACGCATCTGCTTGCGCCTCACTGGATGCAAAAAAGCCACAGTAAAAAGATCCATTAGAACTGAATTTAGTAGCGAGAAAACCGAAAGTAGGTTCCAGGAACAACTGAGGTCACAATTAGGTAGTTCTGAAAACGAGGTTGACGCAGATGTTGCTTGGCAAGCTATACAAACAGATGTGGATACAGCAGTGACAACTATCAGTGATTTAAACTACAGGGTTACAAAGAACCAATGGGTTTCCTCAAGGTCTATTGCACTGATGGATTCTCGTAAACTCATCCCATCAGGCTCTGAACACGATGAAGAGCGACAACAAATCAGATCGAAGTTAAGCAAAAGTCTAAGGAACGACCGTGAGCAGTGGTGGGCAACGAAAGCAAAAGAGATGGAAAAGGCGGCGGCTATAGGGAACACAAGACAGCTCTACAGACTAATAAAATAAACTGGAATTAATAAGTCAAGTGTAAGTCAGACTATTTCAGAAAAAGACGACACCCTCATCTGCTCTTAGTCCAGACGTTTAGAACGATGGCGGAACATTTCAGAGAACAATTCAGCTGGCCTTCAGCTACTCTACAACTACCCTCCATTTCCAGACAGTGTGAATGGAACATTGAAGTGGGTCCCCCAACTCTAGCAGAAGTTCAAAAGGCTATAGCTAATCTGAAACGATGAAGGGCAGCTGGTCCAGATGGATTGGCTCCAGAGGTCTTTAAGGATGGTGGTCCAATCTTAGCGATTAGGTTGACTAATATTTTAGCTAAGATCTGGGAGTTAGACGTTATTCCATCTGACTGGTCACAATCACTTATCGTCCCAATATATAAGAGAGGGTTAAAATCATCCTGTGACAACCATAGAGGAATTAGTTCAACTAATATAGTATCTAAAATACTAGTCTCGATAATTATCAGACGCCTAACTAAGACTCGTGAACTGCAAACACGAGAGAATCAAGCTGGCTTCAGACCTGGTTGTGGCTGCATCGACCACATATTCACCATTCGTCAGGTTCTAGAACATAGGCATACTTATCGGCGTCCGACAATGGTGGTCTTTTTTTTTACTTAAAAGCAGCATTTGACTCGGTAGACCGCGAGATTCTGTGGCAGTGTCTGTCATTGAAAGGCGTACCTCAGAAGTACATAAACCTTGTGAAGACTCTTTACTCGAACACTACTAGTCGAGTGAGAGCTTATGGCGAACTGTCATCTGCTTTTGCAACCTCAAGTGGTGTCAGTCAAGGCTGTCCACTTTCTCCATTTTTGTTTAACTTCATCATAGACCTATTGATGGAAATAACATTCTCGTCTACTGAATTCTCGGGTATTGATCTCCTTCCAGGAGGTCCACTTACCGACTTAGAATACGCAGATGACATAGTCCTGTTTGGTGAGGACGCTGATAAAATGCAGTTTTTTGGTAGCACCAAGCAACAATGCCAGAATGTTTGGAATGCGCTTCTCTCCCTCTAAATGCAAGTTGTTGCTTCAGGACTGATCTGCGTCAACACCTGAACTAAGGATAGGGAGTGAAGTAGTCGAACGCGTTGACAACTTTTCCTATCTTGAAAGTCTGATCAGCCCTAATGGGTTGGTGTCTGACGAAATCTCAGCACAGATTCGAAAAGCTCGATTGGCTTTTGCCAACTTACGTCACCTACGGCGAAGGCGAGATATCCGTCGATCAATAAAAGGACGAGTATACTGCGCGGCAGTCCGTTCTGTTTTAATTTACGGCAGCGAAACATGGCCATTAAGAGTAGAAGACACTCGTAAGCTACTGGTATTTGACCACAGATGCCTTAGAAATATTGCTGGCGTCTGCTGGGATCACCGGGTAAGTAATAGTGAGGTTAGACGCAGGGTATTAGGGAACGATGGTAAATCAGTTGATGAGGTTGTGAATCTTCATCGACTGAGATGGTTGAGTCACGTGTTGCGTATGCCTGAACGCCGATTACCACAACATGCAATGCTAACCGGTATTGGAGATGGTTGGAAGGAAGTTAGGGGCGGCCAAACCAAAACGTGGCATCAGTGCCTGAGGTCATTAACTTCTAGTCTGAGCCATGTTGGTAGATGCAGACTACTTGGTTGGGGTCCGCGTGACTATCGTAACCAATGGTTAGAGGCTCAGAATCGATCACAATGGCGTCGGTGTATACACTCTCTGTCTTCCCTTAAACTAAGAGATTAAAATAGCTTCATATCTTTCTTTCTACGAACTAATTCTTTCTTCCTGTACTATATCCTTATATGTAATCTTTCTTTTATACATTACCACGACTGGATTAACTACTTTTATGAATCCGGTGTTCACCTTGTTGTGTTAATGAGGTATGGCAACTTGGACCGATGCATATATGTGCCTGGTCCTACTTTGTAGCTGACTGACTGACTATAATATCAATTGTAGTTTGGTATTGTTATGTGAGCCACAGAGATTTAGAAAGTAATTGAGGGTTCTAACTCGAAAGTGATTATAAACAGTTTGTCTGTACATTCCTTGTACTGTTTCATTAAATCTATGTAACAAATAAGCACGTTAAAATTAATTTTTTAAGTACGAAATATATTAGTTTTTGCTTGTTTGTTAATTTCCTGTTGATCGATCGTATTGTAATTGCCGTCCGTATTTGTCTGTGGGTCACAAAAACCAATCGTAGAGAAATAGAATACGTTATATATTTTTGTGCTGCGCCATACACTTGCGGGTCGAAACACAATAAGAATAGGGATTGGTTGTGTTCAAAACTGATTTTTTGTCGATATTTAAGATAGGCGTGTTTTACAACACTGAATTCAAAGTATCTTTTTACATCCCTGGGCTCGCTTTGTCTGATAATTATGAGGCTATAATTCTTTCGCTAGTCAGTAGGATCGAGTGTATCAAATAGGCGACTGCAAGTTCACTTCTTTTTTTTTAGATACAAGACAATGAATCTGGTACGTGTAATTACTAATTAAGTGTGATAATATAACCTTTTACTAAACTACTTTCAGACGACAATTACATTGCATTACTGAAATCTTACTACTTTGTGATTGTGATGCGTACTCTGCTAATTAAATATTGACCTGCCCAACTCTTGGCAACTCTTTGAAAAATACCCATACAATTAAATAGTGCTCAAAAACTAAAGCCGATGGTGTTTTAGTTTCCTAACTTCAGATAGCTGTACCTCTCTAAGTTACAAATTATAAATTTTGTGTGTCTGTATGCAAATCCGAAAGGCTGAAATAAGGTTTCTAATTGTTGTTGTATCTCTTTATTGTGAATCATTTTAAATGATCTAAAACTTAGTATTCTCAATCTCCATCTAAAACTTGGCGCATTTTAGGAATTACATGAACGACAGTCTTCGAACTGATATATTTGTACGTTATCTTCCGGAAGCAATTGCATGTGGTTGCATTTATCTAGCATCATGTAAGCTCAACATTCCTCTGCCACGCCACCCAGCTTGGTGGGAAATGTTCAGTGTGAGCGAAGAATCTGTGCACGAAATCGCTTTATGTTTGTTACGTTTATATGCTCGTCCAAAGGTAGATGTTGGGAAACTCGAATCAGTTCTAGCTCAACTCAGGAAATCTCAGGCTGAAGCAAAGGAACGAGAAAATGAGCTCAGAAAACAACAAACCGTCACAACACCCCCAAGTACCCGGTCCGACCACAGTTTCGGTTATATCTCACCCCCAAATCATTTATCCAAATCTAAGAATCAAAACAAGCCTAATGGGAATAAGAAGTCAGTAGATAGTAAAGCTGAGCCTGAAGATACTTCTACTGTTTTCGCTCCAAACTCGCTTTTAGCAAGCGCCTTAGCTAATGCCAAAGCGGTCGCAGCAACGATTACAGCATCAAAATCTGGTATGATCACAGACGAGTTGTCCAAAGTGGGTACTGACCCGTCAATTGTTCCACATAAACGCGAAACAAGTGAAGATGTTTCACCAAGATCTCCAAAAACATTGGTTGAACCTAATCAGATAGATAATATATCCGATGCTTCGAATAAGAAGCCTGATAGGTAAGCTTCTTTTCAATAAATATTTGTTAAATGTTTGTAAGTTGTTGCTCAACAAATATTTCCAGCCTACGCCACCTAATGATGTCAGTCTGATACGTCTGTCATTTCATGAGTACATGTAGAATTATAATGTACTTTTTTGGTTACTCAACTCAGTCGTTGGGGTCGAATAATCGTTTTACATTTTATGACTCAGCTTCATACATGAATCTTTATGCTTTCTGACGTTGCTGCACATTTGATCACATAATTACGCGCGTTGGTTAACTACACATCTTTGATAGTATTCGGATATTGGTCGTCAAGAGTTTTTTGGTAGGCCCCCAAATGCCCTGGTACGGCCGAGAGTGGGGAGAGTCCGCTCTCCCTCTCGAAATGGTCTCACACGGCCACGCGTATACAGCCTCTGCCAGGGAAGTCCTACTCACTGCCTTCTCGCGGCATTACTGTTGTTTACGAAAATGAAAGGACGCAAAGCGAATATCCGGTGCTTTAAACGGATCCCAAACCAATGGTGCACATGGGCTCCAGTATCCTGCGGGAACAAATGGCGTATGAACCAATCGTTGCTCACCGACTACCATTGGAACTGCATCTCCTCACGATGCTCCACTGCCTTGTGGATCAGACCTTCAGGTCGAAGGTTCGGGGTGTGGCCCCCTAAGAAAACCACCTGGTTCGGTTTGGGCACCCGGGCAGTATCACAGCCCTCACACATATCGAATGATATTTGTGTGGCCCATATGTATTTGGTGCCTCTTTGTACCATTATCTATGTGTTAAAATAAATAAATAAATCTGTGTTTGTAAACCTACCATGAATTTTGGATGAACCATATATTGTGGAGAACTAAGAGATTAAAATCGCTTCATATCTTTCTTTCTACGAACCAATTCTTTCTTCTTGTACTATATCTCTATATGCAATCTTTCTCTTATATATTACTACCTTTGACCTAACCACTGCTACGAATCCGGTGTTCATCTTGTTGTGCTGATGCGGTATGGCAACCTGGACCGATGCACATATGTGCCTGGTCCTACTTTGTAGCTGACTGACTGACTGTGGAGGACGTCAAACTTAAATTTGTCAGTCTGCTCTTTGTTAGCCCACAGAATAGTTCATAATCTTTGACTACTAATGAATAAGTTCGCTAAACTATTTTCTCTGTTAAATCATATCATTTTCCTGGGTGGCGCTGGATTTGTCTGCAGATCAATTCCTTAACGGCTTATGGGCCTGAAAACCACTCACCTAATTTTAATTAAGTTTAACAGATAGGAAATATTTTATGGATTTATCGTGTCTAGCCGTCATTAACCCATAAAATTTTCCAGTCTGAAATGTCTTATAAACTAGCAGTTGGTGTTAGTTTACACAATCTTCAAGCCACGATTTTTGTAGAAAGGCTCGTGATGCTACCTAAAAACCCGGATTCAGGTAAACCTGAAATCAAACCTGGTACCTGTTCACGAAAGTGGGGTGTTCTAAGTTTAAGTCTTCATGGTTGTCACAATGGGTTAATAGTGTCTAGTTCGAAAATTTACGTGGTGGGAACAGGATTTATAACGAATTGTGTTGCTGAGGTTCTCTTGCTGTAGGCAATAGTGGCTCAAGAACTCACGCAAATCAGCTTGTTGGTCATCCCTAGCTGAAGAGTCCCCAAACGCCTCGATATGGTCTAGGGTGTTGAGAGTCAGCTCACCCTCTCGAAATGCTCTCACATGGTCACGCGTATACAGGCACTGCCTTCTCGTGACGGAAATGTTTACAAAGCTAAGAGAACAAAGAACGAATGTTTGGCACCTTAACTGGGTAGGTGGATACGGAGGATCCACCTAGGGAAGTTAGAAAACCCTGACTCCAAACCAACTGTGCACATGGGCCCCAGGATTCTGAGGAACAAATGGCGTATGAACCAATCGTTGGTTACTGGTCACCATGGGACTGCATTTCCTGACGTTGCTCCACTGCGTTGTGGACCAGACCTTTATCTCGAAGGCTCGGGGTGTGACCCCTTAAGAAAACTACCTGTTTCGGTTTGGGCGCCCGGGCAGTATTCCAGCCCATACACAAATTGAATGGTTTGTGTGACGCATATATATTTGGTGCCTCGTACCAATGTTTATGTGTTTAAATAATAACTGAAGAAGCTGAACTTATGTATCTGCATGCTATATGTATCGAAAATGCAAGTTATTTTGCAAGCTTATAAATGTGAAAGGTTGTGCTGGTTTGAGTCATTGCCCCATGTTCTTTGTTTGGATTATACTGGAACGTTTTTGCCATAGGTAAGAAATGAGAAATGAGGTTTTCTGGTTTTTAGATGGAATTTATTTTTGTACTGCCTCATTGTTGAGTAATCTTGAATTACTTATAAAATTATTTTAGAACTGTACAAGGAAACTCTGAGACCAAACGACGACCAATTATTCGACCAGCTGCCTACTCAAATATTCCGTCTACTAACACAGAATCCGACAAAAGACGTCGACATCATCGACACAAATATTCATCTAAAAAGCATCATTACAATTCGATCTCCTCATCATCTTCGTCATCTGACCGAGAGACCGATCAAAACCGTTATAATTCAATAAACTTACTGACAAATAACTCCAAATCTCGTAATTATCGACAAAAATTAAATGATATATCATCCTCTGGCTCTGAAACAGGTGATAGTTCATCAAGTCCTAACAAACACATAGTTAATGTGCATGATCGCAGAAAAATCTACAATAATAAACGTAAACATATTCCACGCTCTTCATCAGAGGATTCCCAAACATCTTCTTTCAGTGATGAACCGCGTTTTTCCCCGACTCATCATAATCCGGTAAAATCTAAAAGCGGTCGCCGTCATTTATCACCGCCCTATGCCTACCGAATCGATTATGATAAGTCACATAAAAGCAAACATCATTCATCATTGCGATCTGCACCAAACGGTGAAAGTGGTCGTATATTGCGTGAGCACTCTAACCATCGTCTAGTTTCGAGTCGACATCATGATCATCACCGAAGGTAAATTGTACATATGAATCGTTTAATTTTACTCTGTACAGAAATTTTATGAGTATTAACTTTTTTCACTGGTTGCCTGTACGGTATGATTGATAGATTATTTACCAGATTGCAATAAATTATTTGCACTATCCTATCGTTTTGTGGTGTTTTACGTATTTCCAGTTCTTGTTTAAAAAATACCATTCAAAAGCGGATTCTTGAGAAACTTTATTACTTTTGGCAAGAAAATTTTATAAAATGTTTTAACATTGGAAACTTATTTTTCTTACTCTGCTAGTCGAAGTTTCAAATTGAATCCACTGTACTTTTCTTTAATTGATTCCGATAATGTATCAAGTATTGATTGATATGCTTTTCTCCAACTACCATCGGATGGGTGCGCAAGTCTTGTTATAAGTCTATCAAGGAGTATAAGTACTGAGCGAATTCGCTCCAAATTTGTATTCACCAGAGATGAAAGGTAATTGGTCAAAATTTGTATATCTTCGTTTTGGGGCACTGAAAATTAAAAACAACGTTTCTTATTGATCAGTGATGTAATAAATGCTATTACTAATATATATATCCCTACACGTCTTTTATTGTTTCGACTTTCAGTGTACTTTTTCTGTATTTAGAGAGTAAAGAAGTTGACCGTAAGTATAGAGATTCGTCGTTTCACGGTCGGTGTAGCGGTATTACTTGTGCTGAGTTAATGATTGCGCCCAGTGTAACTTGTGTAAAGATAATTACCAACGATGTGTTGCTACTTGAGTAATTTATTACTAAACTGGGTATCGATCAAAAGTAACTGTCTCTAAACTTTTTTATTAAACACTAATTTGTACCTACCTGCTTCACTAGTTATCCAATCACCAAAAATTTGTTGAAGTTCTGTCAATGTTTTATTGGTGAACAAGCCACTCGGGTCTTCCATTGCCTGTGTTAAGCAACCGAGTTGTGGTATCTCAGGTTTTATGGAGTTCATGGGAGTAGGTATACTTATGTGTTTTGAAATGGATTTACAATTCGTCTTTTGAAGTCGTGCACTCTTGACTACTGATAATTTTCCTCCCTTACATATGCACTTTTTCTGCAACTTTCTGCCATTCACTGATATGTTTCTTTGTTTTACTGGAGTTGCGATGGGCATATAGTTTGAACTACATGACTAGAAAAGATTAAAATCATTATACGCTGTTAGATCATAACTCTTAGAAATGGCTTTAAAGAAATTAAAAGTTGATATCAATGGTAAAAATAGCGACGCATTAAATGTAGTAAATAATCAATCCACTATAGTTTCTAGATCTTTTTTCTTATTAGGCACATATACCATACAAGTGTTTTATCTGGTTGATTGTCACAGTTAACCTATGGCACCTCAATGTTAAATAAAGTGATGCTTTTAATGGATAAACGTTTATCCTGTCAATTGACAAGCAATTTTATGTTTTGGTACTTACTGTCACATTTTTCTGTATTTCGAGTACTCCGTTGGTATTATGTCTGTCCGCTAAATGTCCCAATCGGTCACAATCGTTTGGAATATCTTTCTCAACATCCGTGATGTTTAATTCTTGACGACGTTGGTCTTCATTGTCGGTCACACTAAAAGTTGTAGATAAACAAAAATAACATGCAAGTTATACGTCAACAAGGCTCTTGAAGAGAAGCATGTGACCTAAACTTATCGTTCCGGTATTTCCTGTTAGCGTAGATCAAGGTCAGTGACTATGAGCTTCCTTTCAACTGTATCTGTACTGGTCCGGCAAAAATAACTAGTAAAAGGAAAATATGTACGTCTAATACCAATCTATAGATATACTGATAATCACGTCCAGCTATTTTGGTAACGGTAACTTCCTCTTAGTACAATCCCGTGTACTACCACGACTACTAATACGTGGTATCTTCGACACGATGAATGTTTGCTTGACCTCACTTTACAACTTATGTAAGCAGTCTATGTAAATACTGCAATTGTAAACTGACCATTAAAACTGACATGAATAAAGCTAATGTTTTAATTTTAGAAAAAGGAGATACAACATAGTGCTGGACTTTAAGCCACGTTTTGTATAATGCCAATGATACTACTTAGATGCGCAAACTGAATGATCATCATTTCATTAGTTAATGGCTAAGTCTTAAAACATTAAAGCTAAATCTTTACATATGTTCAAGGTACTCAACGCAAATTGTAAATGTGAATAAGTTAAAGGGGTCGTAGGACTGTATGACGTAGTGCACGTTGGTCAGTAGTTTAATTAAACTTTCGACCGTCACTTAACTTCTTTCGGATTTTTCTACACCGTTACGATTTTCAGAGACGGTACTGGCAAAAAGCGTCCTAATCGAAGTTATTACCTTTAGTATAAGGTAATTTGGTTCACAACCAAATAGTTTGCATTTAGTTGTATCTGCGATCATAACAAACAGATTTGTCATCCAAGTATATTACTTAATCTCTGAATTTAGTTTAAAATAAACTGTACCACATTATTACCAAACAAGTTTCGTTTCCACGTGTATAAATTAAATCGAATGTAACAAATATAATTAACTTTGCTGGTAAATATAGGATGACTCATTTCTATGTAACTGGTAATAACAGTAGGTTGTGAAACAATAATACCAACCTAATTTGCTGACATTGGGAGTTCACCAAGTTGTTTGTTTTTGGCAAACGAAGTGACTGGTCGTTTTCCTTAACGGTTTGATCGTTGCTACATGGGTTCATAATCTTCATACAATTAACCCTTGAGCCTCCGTACTGTAGCTGATGAACTTGCAATCCTATCTGTACAGGAAACATATTAAACCATATATATCAAAACATTGAGAATAAATTGACACATTGTTTACTGTGTATGCAAAGTCTACCTAATAATTGACATGCATGGTAAATGTAAGTGGATTTTTATAAATTACAAACATCTAGTGATAACTTATGTGTCCTGATAGGACATGGTAGTCAAGTGTGATGGGAATGGAAATATTCAAAACTACATTTCATGAAATCTTTTTTATGACAAAAATTTGTAACAAAGCTATTTGTGATTCAAAAAATTCCTAAAGTAACTTACAACTTTATTAGGGTGACGTCTGGTTACGTATTTTTGGCTTTTACCGATTTCGGTCAATAAATTTTTCTCCATGTTATTGGATTTAAAACTGTGACCTCATAGTACGCTTATGTGAGGACTCAATTATAAATATACGAAAACGACAAAATTGTCAGTACAGATCCCTTTGAAGTATTCCGCTTTATTTTTACTCTTCGGTTAGGGAACGACTTGGCCTTTTTTTGTTTGATATAGTTTCAAGCGTAATTTAAGTATTAGATGTAGCATACTTCCTACTACTTTGTTAAGGGTATGGTGATTTTATTTCGGCTTGCGCTGGTTATGCAATAGAAAAATGTTTCTTACTCCACCATTGTGTTTGTATATATCCTGTCAACTCTATGTATGCTGAGCGTTGAGTGGTGATCCATGAAATGTCGACATCTTGATTCATGACAACACGAGCTACAGTAACAAGTTGAGTAAAGAGCAAAACCTATTTTATTTATTATCTTGTACTTTTGTGAATTCGATTCTAAAATTTGAGATATTTTTCAGTCTGTTTTCACTGAGGGAATCATCAATTTGGGGAACTCATTCCCATCTTTTATTCGGACTGCTTGTCCTGTTCATAAATCGTGAAGATGGATATCTGCAGATCCGTCCCCAAAATCTTGGTGAGTAAATACCACTTGCTATTGCTTTGTATACTGATTAATAATCCCTAATATCTTGTCCTACACAAAATGTTGATCGAATTAGGAGGCTAAAATAAAGTTACTATGTTAAGTTAAACACCAGTCGCAATCTCCATATTTCTAAAATTATAATAATTCTTTATGTATAAATAGATAACTAGTAGAACTAATTTGAAAGTAATTGGAGCTTTAGTAGGAATTCAATAAAATTCTCATCCTACTTTCTATTGGTTAACGTTTAACTCCTGGAAGTAAAATTTTGATCGGTTCCAAAAAATGCAGCGAACAAAATTATGTACTCAACATTATTTTTCGAACTGTCGATTCTTTACATGTGTCTTTCAAATGGTTATTGTTTTGTTTCTTCGCTGATTTAAATCTGAAACTTCCCCCTTTTCATTGACGGGAGTATTACATTGAAATTGCAGTCTATATTCATAATTTGTCCTTATAAAAGTTTTATGGAGAATTGCCTAGTGTTCCTAAATAGCAAGTCCTTTTTAAAATTATTTTTCCTGGGAAGATTCGAAGAATTGTATTTCTATTTGATTCGCTATCAAGTAATTCAGGATTTTTACGTCCTAAAATTTAAATCAAGTCACGAGAATAAACCAACACGTAACGTTTTGTTCGTAGCATACGCTTATCAAGTCAACTTGCTTATGTTAAAAGTCCTGATCTCCAAATGGTGAAATAAATGTGGACGATTGATTTCCTCGGTGTTTCGTTTCGGAGTTTAAAATAAGTAGTTTACAATATTTAATAAATTGTTTAGTTACTAAACAGACAGGCGTCATTACACTAATCGGAGAGATTTCCTTTCACTCAGTAAACATTAGGATAAAAGATACGCTCATGTTGTAATTGCGTTATGGATAAGAAACGTCTCATAACAACTGAAGCAATCTAAAACGTTGGCACTATATTCATGAATGTTACTTAAATCTAAGGGTAGTCATTAATTTGCGTGCTGCAAATCAAAGTGCTTGTATAGTTCCCATTCGCTTTGATGGTCAAGTAAGGACATTCAGCGAGTTGGTTGGTAAATACTTAGACTTTTTCGTTAGGTAACCGATTGTCTTGAAATTAATCTCCGAAAACAATTTAAGGTAAAGTTTCTCCTTCATGCTGTAATGGTCGACTTTTTTCTGGTCTGCTTTGTTAGTATCAAAATTGCATGGATTGTGAAATCTGTTTTGGCTTGGGATAATAATGTGTTATGAGGTAAACTTCGCAATTTAGACAAACACAATGTTAAAGGTAAGTTTTGCAAATTTTACTTTCAATTATATACATTGATAGTGCAGAAAATATTTTATTAAATTTAATTCTGTTGTATATCCATCCAAAAATAAAGGTTTCCTAGGAAGCTAGATAATATGTTTTAATAACTTCAGTATACTTAAAATATATAGGAAACTCACTCCCCGTAAATCTTTTGGTTCAGGACATAATCGATTAACTGTTTTTACTGCATATCGATAAAGAATTGTAGGTTCTGCTGTATATTCAGTCATTTGTATAGTGTGATTGGTTATTGAACATAAACCATGACCTAAATTAGGAAGTAAGAATAGATTTGCTTGCGTATCATATAACTGGAGATTGAAAATACATATCTGATTAATTAAATGATGTATAAGACGCAAATTTGGGGTTTTATTTCGTTTGTATTTTGTAGATAACATTTTCATACTATATTTTTTACGTGAATGTGCATCGATAAATGCGCATCCTGTGTATGGAAATGCTATTATGGAGATATAAGATTTGCGATTTATGGTCCTTCAGTAGAAATTAAATAATTAGATCAGTAGGACAAAACTCTAAACTTTGTTATTAAATTGATTCGATCATCCGACCAATGATCGAGAAACAGGTGTAAGCCAGAACTAGAATTTTTCACATACAACACAAAACAGTCAATAGGCGCAGTAAAAGTAGATTTAATTTTACGTATAAGATATTCGCTTAAGTCTAATGTAAATAAGTAGGCCTGTCTTCCGTCGTTGCTTAATTGAGGCTTGATTTCGCGTAACATATTAACAACCCAGGTACTTACTAAGAATCCCCGTGCGTTTCACACGTTATGCATCAAACATTATTTCAGCGGTGCTGACATATTTGTTTACATACCTGTACATTATTTACTAAAAAAACGTCGGTTTAGCTAAAAACTGTCACTCATATCTCACAGCGTCTTTTCCGATCGAATTATTCCCAGTATCGTTGAAAAATAATAAAAAAATAGAACCTTTTTATGTTCAAGTGTTTATCCTGATAGTAAGGACTTCTAAACTGACCCATATACATAGTTTACAATCCTTAATCAGCTTTCGCATTGTTAAACAACTAACTTACCATGAGATTCATTTATTACTATAAATGCTGTCAGTTCTAAGTCAAATGACATATATTGCTACATGTAATAGATGTTTCGAAAAATGTTATTTAGAGAAATCCAAAAGTAGTACAACGTTCTTCATAAGATTAACTCGCTTTAAATACCATTAAAAAGTATCGGCACTTATACTTTTCAACGCTTATCTAGCTTAGTGCGAAGGATGCTTAATTAATCGAATGCACGAACGAGTATAGTACTGTCTTTATCTAAATAACCCGTTTGCCCATGTTTTTCAAGCTAAAGATTTTGAACTGGACAGCAGGTGCAGACGTTAATGTTATGTCGATTTCATTAGTAAACTTTTACCCGATAGATTTTTAGATACCTAGTGTATTCCAGTGCACTAGTTGATATTTAGTAGTAAATTTTTATATACCTACTACTGTCTTGTAATGATATTGTAATAATGTGAGTAAATATTTTACTTATTGTGGTAGTTTTTATTGATGTTTGGTGATATTGTCATTTTAACAAACGGAATCAAGAATAAGCTGAAATACAACTAGTTATTCTGTACTGGTTCAGGTTATGCAATTTTCAGTCACCAAGCGTTTATATATTTTGGGCGCACAACTTTTGAAAGTTCAAGTAACACTGTTAGCATTTCTGTAGTTAATCGGTATCATGAATACGAATGAGTTAAGGAATGCCGCGAAGTTATAAACGAAGTATTTTTCTTTTCAAATAATTTACTGACATGTAACGTCCGTGTATAAGTAAGCTTAATTGGAAAAAGTGTAAGTACATAGGAAACTAATTGCATTATAAAGATACACTCCATACCACTTACCCATATATTTTGAAGTCTGTGCGGGTGCGTTAGGAAGTCGTAGGTATAATCTGACGGTTAGCGATTTTCCTACACAGCCGGCATTCATTGAACTCATTTTAATATTTCGCATTCTAGAGCTCAATTCTTCACATAGTGAATGTACTAAGGCTTCTAATTCAGATTGCTAAAAGTTTAATTATAAACAGTAAATCTTTTCCATATCAAATAAATATTTCCATCTTCAGTAAAATTTGGATCGTTAATTATGTACACTGACACATTTTCTGAGTAAATTCCAGAAATAGGGATGATTCATTATAATCCACAATAAGTTGGAATTCGATATGTATATTTTATTTCCTGGTTCTGTTATTCACATAGGTGTGTACCAACCACTATCAACAAATCTCATTGAAAAACCAAACCGTATTTTATATGATTGCTGTCCGAAATACGCAGTTGAGTTACGTACGTTTCGACTCTAAATATATCAGAGTTCACTAAAACCTGAATTAACTAAATAGTTGTTTTAGCTGTTCGGCTGGAAATACTGAGTCGTTTCCTTCGCTAATGTAAAATATAGTTTCTTTCATTAGTCTCCTTACTGAACCACACATCATCTTTTTAGCATATGTTGCATGGAATGGTGTTACATTAATTCTATGTAGAGTTGGTCAATAGCAACGATGAAAGTTGTACCTCTTTACAGCATACTATGTGGTTGCACCACGATTTTTCTACGTTTGCTACACAAATCTTTTTTCGTCTAGTTACAGATTTCAGAAAATACCAACAAGTAGAGATTACACAACTGCAATAATTTATAGCTACATTTTCATGTGAAATATTGTTTCTATGGTTTCTGAATGGCGTCTTGCGTTTTGTATTAAAAGTCTTTTGTCTTGTTTGTAGATCATGAGAATATCATGTCCATATTTCTCCTCGAAAAATCAATGGAAATAGTAAAGAACTGTGCTCATCTGGGTAATTGATTGTGGGCTGGTGACAGAAAAATTCCATTATTTTATACTGGTACAGAATGCTAGATGCCAATGCGGGTAATATTTCATGATGCCAGCCAATCTAAAATATCCGTTGCACTAGAGTCTCAAAAGTTTTTTAGTCTGTGATGCATTCGGTTTAAGCCATGATTTTTTTAACAGTTGTGTCTAGTTGTTGTCGTCTCTGCAGAACTGTTCTCACTTGGACCGCAGATAACATAGTCCTGTTTGGCGAGGACACTGATAAAATTCAGTCCCTTTGGTAGCACTGAGAAACAATGCCAGGTTCCTTGGAACGCGTTTCTCCCTCTCTAAATGCAGATTGTTACTTCAGGACTGGTCTGCGTGAACACCTGAACTAATTATGGGGAGTGAAGTAGTCGAACGCATCGACAACTTCACTTATATTGGAAGTCTAATCAGCCCCGATGGATTGGTGTGTGACGAAATCTGTTAGACTCTTGCCAACTTATGTCACCTATGGCGAAGGTGAGATACCCGTCTATCAATTAAAGGACGAATACGCTGCGAGGCGTGGGCATTAACAGTAGAAGACACTTGTAAGTCACTTATATTTTATCACAAATGCCTTAGAAATATTGCTCGCATGCACTGAGATCACCGCGTGAGTAATAGTGAGGTTTGACGCAGGGTATTAGGGAAAGATGGTGAATCAGTTGGTGAGGTTTTAGAACTTCGTCAACTGAGATAGTTGGGCCACGTGTTGCGTATGCCTGAATACCGATTGTCACGACGCGCACTACTGACTAATGTTGTGGTGGATAGTTGGAAGAACGTTAGGGGCAGCCAAAATAAAACGTGGCATTAATGCTTGAAGTCATTAACTTCTAATCTGATCCATGTTGGTATATGCAGACTACTTGGTTGGGGTAACGACTGTGTGATATGTTTGAGAATCGACCACAATGGCGTCGGTGTATATACTATTTGTCTTCCCTTAAACCGTGAGATTAAAATTGCTTTATATCTTTCTACGAATTAATTCTTTCTTCTTGTACTATATCCTTATATGCCATGTTTCTTTTATATATTACCATAATTGAATCAACTACTTCCATAAATTCAAAGTTCATCTTGTTATGTTAATGAAGTATGGCAACTTGGACGCATATATGTACCTAGTTTTATGTTGTCAGATGGTTGACTGAGGGTCGGCCGCCAACAATATTGGTTTTTAATAAAACAAGAAAAGCTATTTAGTTGACAGATTTTTTTAACCGCTTGCAACACAAAACATTTACGTTTACAAGGATTTATTAAGACAAAAGGGTTAAATAGCCAACAAATAGCTGCACAAAGGATCAAACCCAAAACACACAGGTCTCGCAGCGAGTACGTTATTATTAAACCATTATTTAGGGATTTAGTAGTCCAGTCAGTTTATGATATAGCGCGACAGTGATTCAATTTTATGTTGATACATATCTTGCTCTTGGTATGGTTAAATCCCATCAGTGACAACTTTTGCGTGAAGCTGAAGTTAGTCACTTTTAAGTGCATGATTATTGCTTATTTGATCAGTCCCTTCATCTGAAGTTAATCCATCATGAAAACTATAACAAAAGTTATTCGGATCTAAAAAGTAAAAACACGAAATTTTTAATCTCTTTTGGTACGCACATGTGAATTCGTAACCTTAATTCCATCCAGTACGCAGAAGGAATTTGTCCGTCTCTAATCCTAGAGCTAATTATGGTGAATGACTTATCTGCTATAGTTGAAGTTTCAGATTTCTGGTGACGTCATCTCGTTGGTAAGTTGTAGAACAATAGGGTTTTTCTAAACTACATAAGTTTGATTTTCTTGATGACAGCTCCAACTTAACTGTGTAAGGTATCTATTCGATAAATTTTGTATTTCGATGAACGTTAATAGTGTCCCGTTATCCGACAAAACTTGATGAGCGATCACTACAGTTATCATCCATCTACTGTCTTCAACAAATATATCTGATTCTCATCAACATTCTCCTGTTAATTTGAGAAATTATGTACTTCCTTTACCGACTAATTAATGCCCTTTTTGAAATTTATATCTTGGTTATCTATTTGACCTTTACTTCTCACATATAAGTGTCTTAACAAGTTAGTGTCCATTCAGACTTTTGAAATGAATTGATCTAATAAATAATGTGGTTTTGATGAACTTGGTCTTTTGATTTTATTATCTTCACGAATAAAATTTGTACACCAATAGAAATTCAGATTTGGGAAACTTACTGAGCTTAATCGAATTCCGTAGTTCATTGATGCTGATATAGATTTATATTCCTTCTCGAAATGCAAACTATCCAAATCCTAAAATAGTAAGAGATGTTTACAAGACAAAAAATTAGGTCTGATAAGTGACATCAATGTAAAATGGGGGCTACTGCCAATAAATTTCAATCGCTAATCAGTTCAACATATAGGATTTTATTTTGATGACTCGACTAGCGTTATGTTTGCTTCAATGTCTCAGTAGTTGAATAATAGGCTGGTTTATGCCGCTGTTATATTGATAGTGCTCTTGAAGAAAACGTTACTGTAAATTTCATCGTCCTCAAAAGTCTCAGAGGACCAATCAAAAACCAAGACAGGTTACTGTCGCGTGAAGCTACACAAAGAACTTAGTGACGAATGCGTGGAACTTGCTATAGTTGTCTGGGAACACGGAAATTTCACGACTATGGCTCAACCTATGTTGTGTGTTGTAACTAATAAACAGAGTTACTGGAGGATTCTGATCATGATTTGATAGCAGGAGAGCGGTTTTCTAATGTTTACGTAGTTTCATAGAAAAATATCACCTAAATAGTTGATCATTAAATACTCAAGTTTTATATCACGATTTTAGCAGCGTTGAAACCAGAATATTGTTTGGTTCTATCCTTCACCTATCTCCATACAAAAATAGCCAAGAAAAGTCATTGTGGATTTAAACTACCCACACAGAAATATATCGTCATCACTTTTCAGCCCGATTAGTACCGTAAAAGATCCTAATACAATTGTGGTGAAGTCCGTAATGCTATTCATCCAAGCTTCAGATATTCTTTGCACTAGTCAGTGACATTTTAAAATAGTGTGTGTGAACCTTCGTGTTTCACATTTTGATTGGTAGTATTCACTTAATGGACTATTTTGTCCGTTTCATTTAAAATGCAAGCGAAAAACTTAAACCAACCTTTCCGCGACATGCCATGTAAACACGACTACCAGTCTTCTTTCCAAGTAAGTTTGTGATTTGATTGTGAGAGACTTCGGACATCAGTTGGCCGCACGTTTTTGCATCAAATGCTTGAAATATTTTACCTGCTAGGGATCTGCCGATACCTAGGAAATAAGAATATATTTTGCGGTATAAGTATAACTGTAATGCGTTAATCCAGTATACTATCTATATAAGATCAAGAAATCTTACTTGGGATTTCAGTGAGGGGTAGGTCACACAGCCACTGGTACTCATCGCCGGTTAATTCACATTCCGAGTGGACATCTAGCTGTTCTACATTCCCTTCTGAAGAATACCACCTCCAGCTTCCCCTTTTTGTTGGCCTATCAAGTTTCGGACATCTGCCTCCAGAGCGGCCAAGAAGCCAGTATTGGCCGTTGGGCTTAGCCCTCTTTGTGGCTAAACGTGCCAATAATTTACTTGTACCAAATCCAATAGAAGCTGTGCATCCACCAGTGATGTCTTTTACTAATTCTCGTATATAACTGCCCAAAATTAACGGATTAATGATTTGATAGGTAACTTCCCAATTACCATCATGGAGTTTCGGTTTGATTTCGTTTTCATTCGAATAAGTTAGTAGTTCTGTACAATCAGCATACAGTTCATCGCAGCTTACCGCTTGGATGTCTCGAGTGAAGCTATAATTTACGGAATAGAATAGACCAATATAAATTTTAGACGGAAGTTTCATAATAACAGTGAAATCAAAATCCAAACATCTTTCATTTTGTAAAGAAACGAAAGAAAACTGTCGAAACATGTAAGAGCCTTCAGATATATTCCACTAAAAAGAAAAGCAGATGAAAAACTAGCTATGGTTCTGAAATGGCTTTTGTTAGATAATAAACCAAGGGAAAGATGTTCCATCCTAGTATATGACTTTGTAGGCGGAATCCTATGGTCCATATAGGAAAGTTCAGTCGACCAGTGATATGGCGTGGAAATCGTCCAATAATACTGGCAGGTATGGTTAAGCTCTACTTATCAACTGCACCGTTTGGTTTCTCACTGATTGTCTATCTACAACTGAGGACTTGTTACTTGTATGGTATCGGAGATGTAGGTTAGTGTTACAAGCCTATTTCCGTTAATAAGTACAAAAGCAACTGACTTACCGAGAAATGGTATTATATAGCAGCTCTGATACTGATTTGTAAGCCTCGAACTCATACGGTAAAACAATTAAGTCTGGGCATAGTTGTTTGGCTCTTCCTAGAAGCATTCCGTTTTTCACTCCAGCCTGAAACGTATGAAAATTTATGTATCAAAAACGCTAAGAAATTATTCTAATAAGAAAACCATGTAACTGGTATTGGGAGACTTAGTTATTTGAAAGTTGCTTCAAACTTAGTTCACCTTAGTCTTTCTCCGGAACGATAACTTTTCCTCTATCCTCATGAAGTGTTTATTAAAATTTCTAGTTTAAGAATAATGATCATAAGTGATTCCATCTACGATAATGTAAATACTATTAGTTATAGATAAATGAAGAGATCCAACTTAATATGTTCTCAGCATCCAATTAATACATTGAGGTTTTATTCAAATCACAAAGTTATGGGATGTATCCTTTCCAGAATTGGCTACATGTATAGTGACTAGTATATCAAAAAAGTATTTGTTGATTAATGGGTAATAATTGAAAGCTAGGAGCCTATTCAGATTAAAGAGGATAGATTGTATCTATCATGTGTTATTCTATCGGAATTAAAAGTAGGTGCCTATCACTCGGTACTCTCAAGGAAGGCAAATGAGTTTTTACAGCTATCCATTTCTGTTGGATTATATGAACATTTAACTCATGTATTTTTTTGCAATGTGGGAAATTAATAGTTTTAGATTTATGTGTAAGTTGGCCTTGTGTTTCGTAGAATCTTAAATTTATTTTTAACTAAACAATATCTAACTTACACTGAAAGTGCTAATTTAGAAAATTCTAAATGATACAAGTAGGTATTTAAACTTTAATTACCCTTACCTGACGAGCAGTATATGAACAGGAAGCAACTTCAGACATCGATTCCGTGTGTCTATAATGGTAGTTAAACAAAGCATAGATTTGGTTACGATATATTTTTGACAATAATACTGTGCTATGAATATTTATCATCAATGCGACTATATATGAATACTAGGTTTTAAAATTTTATAGCATAAGTTGTATAATAAGCTAAAAAATAGTTAACGAACCAGCGGAAGCGGAGAGCCATGAAATGGACAGGCGATTTGTCTAGTTTCTTGTCCTTTTTAATGTTTTCATGTAACCAAACTCTGCGGAGCCTTTATGAAAAATGTTTTCCTCACTACATCAGAGTCACTTAACACAATGAAAGTAAGAGTTTCAAAACCGATGCGAATAACACATGGATAAGAGAGTGTGTATATGTGTACCGAATAAAGTGAAGACTTAGTTTTTATTATCGCCTTAACCGCTTGTGACAGGGTTTCATTTGAGACTTAGTGACCTCACCTGAGGACCATTAGTCTCGACAGAAGTACCGGAATGGCATCACACACCTTGGGCTACTGAATTGAAGTTTCCTATCAGTATTGCGGTTTGCGTGACTATCGTAACGATTGGCTGGAGACTGGGTGATGTGGCTCAGAATCGATCACAATGGCATAGGTGTATACACTATGTCTCCCCTTAAACCGTGAGATTGAAATTGCTTTATATCTTTTTGCCAACTAATTCTTCCTGTATTATATCCTTATATACAACCTTTTTTATATATTACAACCATTAAAGTAACTACTTCTATGAATTTAGTGTTCATCTTGCTGTGCTAATGAGGTATGGCAACTTGGACTGATGTATATATGTGGTACTACGTTGCAGCTGACTGACTTCCTATCAGTAAGTGGAAAATAAGTGAAGAGAATAAATTACATGACGAAATTAACTCAAAGGATTCAGAATACAACTTACTTATTACTACTTCTAATGTCGTTAAATAAACCACGTGAGCTTTTCGCATGTGTAATAGCAACTGGCTTGTCTGATGAAAGAAAAATATATAAGATAGTTGGAAAGTCACAATGAACATAATTTTTCACATTTTTCAAGTTTCAGTAAAATATATGAATTCGGAAGTCAGATCGATTCAACTACATCATATACTAGTACAAACAAAATATGGTGAGATCCTTTTATAGCTATATATATATATATATATATATATATATATATATATATATATATATATATATATATATAAACTATGATCATTGTAGATTGGTGAAATTTGTACAATCGTGTCAGAGTTTCGTTAGTGATCGATAAATTTTTCCAAATAATTATGCTCATGTTTTTACAATAAATTTTCTATTTGTTTAGTTCAAATTAACTGAATACCTCGGATTATCATATTATATGTAAACTTAAGGATCTGCAATGCTACTCAAATCTTTGAGTTGTTACTAAGATAGTTCTGTCATACGTAGGCCATTTAGTTCCCAGTGGATTTCGCTGGATACAGTAATGATGCATGAGATGTCAACAAGAGTATCCCCACCATAAACTAGATGTAATCAGGAAGACTGTAAGTTTTTACTAGGGATAAAAAAAAATGAAGGTGGTTTTTTAGTGCCCGTTGCTGACTCCATAATCAAAAGACAGCATTTATGTTAATGAAATATGTATTCCATTTAACTTCTTGTATACTGGATCAACTTAACACGGTTTCGTTTTTAACACTGTAGAGGAACACAATACTGAAACAATTTGTTTTACTTGAACTGCATACGGAAAAGGGATTCGTATCTTTTTATGGTGTTAATTTTTATAAAGCTCTTATTGTCATTATGGACATTATAGAATAAAAGTGAGATTTTTAAAACTACTTCACAAATACCGAATAAGTGTGTTCTAGGGGTTTTGTTTATGATAAGTGGTTTTCGCAGGATTTGCACTTAGAATCAAGTTTACTGTTTTATTAAGTTGACCTCTGACCGCGTGATTTATTGATCACATTCGCATGAATTAACAACTTAGATTTGTGCTAATATTTATTATTTACTGAAACATTTAAATATTCTATATAAAGGAAACTTTAAGAATATCAATAAATTTTCAAAAGCATGATATTTAGATTGACCTGCAATCAGTATCTGAAAGGCTCACTTCTTTATGATGTAGTTCGAAATGACAATGAATACTTCTCAATCAAAACAGTCAAACCAAGATATTTCAACACTTATAAATATGAAATTGAGCTACAAATCTTTTTCATTCTCTAGTTCATTTGAATAAAAATGGTCTCATTGAGTAGTTGGATATGTTTTGTGATATTCTACAACTTCAGTTGTTAAGAATTATGAAATCTATGTGAGGAACGATTTTCGATTCTGGAACTAATAATGTATATTTTGTTCCAGTTCAGATCACTATTAAAATCGACTACTATAAATAAAAATAGAAATATTCAGTAATGTTTATAAATCTTAAGTATTTATTCAATGAATAAATTTTCATTATCTAATACCACATTCATTACTTGAAGATCTAAGAGTAGTAAACGAAAATGTATTACCAACCCTGTAAACCTGTAGTTTGAGAAATTGTAAATGTTCTTGATAGACCTTACTCACAGAACAAGAGATGAATTTGTGAATCAATAAATATAAAGTACTATGAGTTCAATCCGTCTACGCCAACAAAAATGTATGCTATGATCATTTTGTTTATTAGACAAACACTATAATTTTTTTTTAAACATATGTCTGTAAATCATAACATGATTTAGAGCAGTCAATTAATGAACTTACTATTATGTGGAAAACTAATGAAAGAGAATTATTTGGAGAACATTTACAACTAAGTGTACTGAAATAATGTACATAATTATTAAAGCTTGACAATGTTTAAAATAGAAAATTTCATATAAAATGACTTTGTATGCATATTGATACGTAAACAAAATTATCATATAGTAATACACATTCTTGATTTTAATTTAAGTAGTTTCGGATAAATATATATACACTAAGTGACTAGTTCACTTAAATTTTAAAAAATATACAGAATACAGAAAATTTTGATGGAATAATTACCTTTAAGTTCTGGTCTACTTCGAATACTGACAGATACAAAGAAACAATCCATATCAATATGAAATATAATTTGAGGCTTTTGTGGTTTTGATAGCGGATAAGAATTAGAATGATTACAATGAATATATCGTGCACGTAACTCAATCGTTTTTTTGTTATTTTTGGATGGAGATAAATCGCTTGAAATTTGATTATACCATTTCATGCCTAAATCACAATTATGTTCAGGATTCTTACGCATCTCTTCGACTAAGCTATGTAGATCTTTAGCCCAAGAAGAAAGATGATGTAAGCGTGAACGGGAATAAAATGTAGCTAATTTTTGATCTAGTGATGCTTTCAATGAGGTTTGTTGTATCGATGTATGGGAAGCAACAGATGAAGGTACCTAAAAATGAAATAGCGCAACTAGTTATGTCGAGAAAAGTTTACACAAATTTAGGAACAGGAGAGTCGAAATACATGTGTGTATTCATCTCATTACTAAGTTAATATTTGGTACATGTATCATTTTCAAAACTGAAGAAAACATCTGGAAGCTGTTATATTTTAGGATAATTTACGGTACGATGTTAGTTTTTAGTTTAATACAATGAAGAATATTTAGTATTAATCATACAACGTAATAAATATGTAACCAAAGTCTACTGAAGCCTAAGCTGAGTTGCTATATAAAAGTTCCGTTCAAAAAGGAACATCACCGAATGATAAAAACGAAAGAAAAAAACAAATACTTGGAAATAAATGACAAAACGACATGGGTAGTTAAAAAAAGGGAACAAACAGACAATCTTATATGATGCACAGAATCAATAAAAATCAAAGTATTGGTAATACTGTTTATTTTTTATTCATATTTCGTACAGAATATGAATCACTGCCTGTTTTCCAATCTAGCCAGTTAGTAATTCGTCATGTTCGTGTAAGTTATCTCAGCCGTTTGGAAATTACTTTTAGTGAAATTCTATTAGGCAGTGCTGCAATATATGTAATACAACTTTACTAACTCAGTTGCAAGGTGATATAAGCTTATCAATTGACTTTCTTTCTATGTTTAGAATTCAGTACTAATCATTTTAATTACTGGACTGAATAAAAACGATAATTATTTCGAAGGTATTCACGATTGAAAATTGGTGGTTTCCTAAAATGAGCTACATTCAATAGATATGATTTCCAATCATAAATTAATATAAATGTAGCTGTTTTAAGTGGAAATGGATAGGACATAACGTTGCGGAAATCATCGAACTGCATCACGAGGCAAGCATTAACTTGGAATCCTGAAGGGAAACGGAAAAGAACAAGATTAAGGAACATAATGCGTCGAGTATTGGAAGCAGGAATCAAAAGCATCTGCAAACAACTGAAAAGGATTGCCCAGGACAGAGTTCGATGGAGAGTTCTGGCGGACGGTCTATGCTCCTCCACGAGGGGTAAGAGGTGTAAGTAAGTAAGTTGTTTTAAAGGATTCACAATCTTTGATAAGCATAAATTTAAAGTTGAGTGGCCCTCAAATGCCCTGGTACGGCCGAGAGTGGAGAAATTCAGCTCTCCCTCTCGAAGTGTTCTCACATGGCTACGCATATACAGCCACTGTCAGAGAAGTTCTACTCACTGCCTTCTCGTGGCGGGGGTGTTGTTTACGAAATTGAGAGGACGAAAAACGAATGTTTGGCACCTTAACCGGGATGGTGGATACGGAGGATCCACCTAGGGAAGTTGGAAAACCCTGACTCCAAACCAACTGTGCACATGGGCCCCAGGATTCTGAGGAACAAATGGCGTATGAACCAATCGTTGGTCACTGGCCACCATGGGACTGCATTTCTTGACGTTGCTCCACTGCGTTGTGGACCAGACCTTTATCTCGAAGGCTCGGGGTGTGACCCCTTAAGAAAACAACCTGTTTCGGTTTGGGCGCCCGGGCAGTATTCCAGCCCATACACAAATTGAATGGTTTGTGTGACGCATATATATTTGGTGCCTTCTTGTATCGGTTTGTGTTTAAATAAACCGAGTTAAATCAGTTAGACAATATATTGAGCCAAATAGGATTTCTGATTAAAAATGATTTCAGGAACTAACTGCAAGTTTTTATCATACTATCTAATTGCTATGAAATGAATTTTACATACAATTGTTTGAAAATTATTTTGTTATAATGAAGTATCAAAACGTTATTAGCGTAACTGCAACTAGTTGATATGAAATGAAAGAAAGGTTGTTATGTGGTCTATTTTAATGTAAATTAGTCAGAAATAAGGTAATAGTTTTATGGTGAGTACGCAGAGATGTACACGTCGGTAAAATACTAAAAGACGATCCATGATAAGAATTAATTTTCTAAGGAAACCCAGCTCAGTAGCTTCTGTAAAACTAAAATGCGAGGAACAAGGCGTGCACTAGTAATTTGATGTTCAAACTGCAAAACAGTAAACTGAGTTTGAAAGTTTTGCTACAGAATTAATTCCCAGGCGCTTGGATCATTTTCCATATATGACTATTGGTTAGTTGAACCAAAAGCAAAGAAACCATTGTAAAAAGATTGAAACCAAAACAAGAAAGTTCGTTGAAGCTAGTAAACGCATATTGAGGATGCGAGGTGTATATAAATATTGCACAGAATGTTTGGTGGCCCGTTGATCTGACTCCGGTTTGATCATATGATGATGTTAACGAAATATACTTGTCCTCTCGTACATAATTATCGACTGAATTTGAGTTAGAGAATAACGGAATAAAAAAGTCAAATACGAGAATGAATTTTGGATATATGTACTTCATCCATTGATCCTGACAGACAATCAGAGTAACGAAGTGGAGAAACAAATCGGAGAAAGCAAGTGTGACTGATATTTATAACGAGACAAAAATAATCTAACGACGTGATGGGTAGGGTAAGAGATGGACACTTATGCTCATATAAAAACAGTCAAGGTGAATAATTGAGATGGTCGAAATGTGATTCAAGCTAGAAAAACTCATGTAGGCTTGACATAGTACTAGACACTAATTTCACGAAGATGAACAGATCGTCAACTTTACACTGCTAGATTTAAAAACCATTGAACGTAAAATGCTACAATTATACAGACATACATGAAATACATTTTTAATTCTGTTTACTTACTTCATCTTTAATCAGATTGGTTGTTTGAAGAGTATCACCGTCAAGTTTATTGTTCAGAAGTTGTTTCAATGTAATTGCAGGTTTTAGAGGACTATTCTTTTGGACATTTCTATTTAAACTATCATAAGAATCTGTTTTTAACACATGATTTAACGGTAAACACTCATCGACACGCATTTGATGAACTCGAGCTTGTTTGTCGCTTGAAGATGACAATTGATGTGTACTGCAGGAGGACATTTCTGTAATTCTAGTTGCAAATAGGATTTTAATTAAGAAGGATAATTATTATCTGTATAGACATGAAGTGAAGTACTGGAATATTGCTGAAGATACGAAAAAAATTCAAATACTAACTAGTTACATGTAAAGACGAGACATGTGCTAAACGTACAAGATAGTGAACGAAGTCTTAGCTAGGATGAATATTAAACTTGTTTGCTTTTCCCACGCAACATACAACTGAAAACATGAGTTAACTACATGTCTTATCGACTGTAGACCACGATTGTCACATGTTTTATCCCAACTAGTTTATTCCGGCTTTAAGTGAGCTTTTGGTTTTAATCCTATGATAGAAATAATATGATGCACTGATGTCACGGTCCCAAGGAAATCTATTTATTTTCCCTAACATATCACTTTCACCCTGGCAAATATATATATATATATATATATATAATCATTCTTATGATAATTAGATAACCAATTAACTTAAACGTCTCAAATTTTCGTATCTCTTCAATTGAGTAAGGTCAATCCGAACAAAACAGTAAGTGATGGGTAGATGATGGATTATTAAACAATGAAATTCAAAATGACTATAACAGAATTTATTGTGGTATAAATTTCAACATGTGCCAAAATATTCTGAAGTTGGGTCATATCGAGATGCAATGAAATGACAGTTAAAATATAGAATTCAGATTTATAGAATAGCAACAATTGTATAAAGCGAGCAAAGACAAATCAACGTGAATTAGAAGAAAAGATGAACAGATATAAGTTTATTTTACACCAAATACAGGTTTTGAACACATTGGTCTATTTTTTGCATTAATTATTATTCGATTGGATCTTGAGTAAACTATAGTCGAGTAAAATTCACTATTAATGAATAAATAATTTATTATATGAAATTAGATTTACTGATACCATAAAATTATAAATGTCACAACTAAAAAGTTTGATAACGTTGTCACATGTTTTAGATCTGATCTACGTGGTCTTTATTATAGAAGGAGATTTATTACAAGTATGAACTGGCGAATAAATGTATGCTATATAGCCTAATAATGTAAACTAACACCATAATGTAGTCTAGTCTAATTCAACTGACATACCTTTTAACGGGCAGTTTTTATCAGTATTGCTAAATTTTGATTCAACCGATATTGATCACAATATCCTATAGAGATATATTTTGATGTCTCTATATAATCGTTATATACCATGATCGTTTGAAAGAAGGAAAGTCGAAGGATATCGAAGCACTTTAACTTACAAACTCATAATTCGAAAGCCTTTTATATTTATCTCAGAAAATAGCAAGGTATTTCAATATATTTACCATGTAAGTGTGTGTTTTTTACTTTAGAGACATCCGATACTTATCAACAAAGTACTCGTATAACAGTGGTTTACATTACGAATTGACTACATAGACAACTTAAAAACAGTGGAACAACAGGAAGCAGTTTTATTCTAGTACATGACTTCTGATGGAATCAGCCCACGAAGTGGTTGACTTGTTCTGAGCTGTCATGGTAGATGTTGACTACCGGGTTGATGTCCACGGTCAATAATTGAAGACTTTAGGTGACATCGCCCAGAACCGTTTACAATGGTGAAGATTTACTGAGCCTTCATCTTTCTTTCAATCTTAAATTCCAGTATCTTTTCATATATGCCTTTTCACTATACTTTTTCAGACCATATTCTCAAGGTTTGGGTTTTCTTTTTAACATTGCTACTACATTATTTCGGTCTATTTTGTTATTTAGATCTCGTTGTGCTAATGTGGTATGGTAACTTAGGCAATGCATATCTGTGCCAAGCTCTATGTTGATGATGTCTATCATTTTGTCTTCTCACTACCATATGCCCTTGACTCCGCTCAAGATTGGACTAAGGAGTTTCAGGGCCCATGATGGAGACAATTTGTTTCGAAAACTAAGCCGGGATTCAATGGTTTGCATTTGATCAATATGTGTATAATTGTGATCTTTCTTAAATCAGCTAAGCAATCATTAGTAGCACGCCAATGATCAGTGATCTAACAAACTTTAACGGTAATTTTAATGAATTAGGTTGATAACCAATGTCTATATTTAAGTTTTTCTAAAGAAGAGTAAATTACTTAACACTTGTCAGAAATAAACTCTGGTAACTAACGCCAATTATCTTTTTAACCTACGACTCTAACAAAATACCTTAAATTATTTAATATCGTCTCAAACAAATGTAGATCGATTTGTTTGTTGTCTAGCTATTTTTTAAATAGTCATGGGTACTGTTGAGTAACAACGGAAACATTCCAATCAGAAACTGCAATAATCAGCAAGGAATATGCATAATAATGCACTAATGAACAGTGCGCAGATAAGAAATATTATAAAGGTATTTATCAAATGAAAATCATTCTGTTTTATACTAAAACATCGAAAGGTTTAGTGAACGTATATTGCAGTGAATTAATTATCAATGACCTTGTTTATTTTGTTTCTTATTATTGATCATATTATTAATGTGGTCAATGTCCAAACTTACCTAATATTGGTAATGAGATTTACGGAATTAACAATAACAGGGTGGCGGAACACATACACAAATGGCTACAGAAACAAATGAATTCCAATGGTAAAATAAGATCACAGGACAGACAGACATCTTCCTCCATAGCGAAACATTTGGTTGAGACTGGTCATAAGGTTGATATTAAGTCAGTATTTGTAGTGTCGTACAAAAGCCTTCAAGGGCGCATAGTAAGGTTGATTGAAGCCTTGGCTATATGGAAACTGACCCCCACTTTATGTGTTCAAAAACCAACCCTGGTAGTACTGATTTGTTATCACATTGCTTTTGTGTACTTCATTTTTCTTTGTTACGGCTCACCTTTAACCATTCTAGTTGACCTTTTAGTTTTCATATAAAAATGTCTTAGCAAGTATATGTGTGATCAGATTGTTCGAAATATATTGCGCAAATATATCACATAATTCTGATAACCCTCATCTTCTCATTGCTTAATCGAGATTTATCAGAGACAGTATCTGTTATTCCGAGGACAGTTTGTTTGGATTAATCAATTCGATGTTAGTTTGTACTACAAAATAATAACAGTCTAAGAAATACTATAAAACACCCTAGAACTTTCTGATCATGTGGCAAGCATATCGCCTTTAGATTACTGAGTTTAAATACTTCTTAGAATCTTTATTGTTCCCATTTTTTCACTGATGACCTATAACACTTTTAAATTCTTTTAGTTTTGTTATGATAGTCGGAAAAATATACCAATAATTATCGTGTTAAGTCTATGGCGGCCTTGGACGTTAAATGTACATTTCCTATTGGTCGATGTTTATTTCACTTGTTAAATATTGTGTAAATGTTGTTTTCTATTTTATGGTACGATGTGGTCTGGTTGATTGGTATATAAATAGAGTATGTCTGAAATACAATGATTCATAACTCAGAGGCTGTGACTTGTGTTCTTGACTCAACTGGCTAGGACAGGCAGCGAAGCAGGGCCAATCAGGACTCTAGGTCGTCCGTACGTGTTTACGTGTCACTGTCACCGAATCGATCATTAAAACGCTGTTTATCAAAACCTGCAGTCCACACGTTACAACAAGTTTTAAATTACAAAATAAGATAACTAAACATTCGACTAGTTTCAGAAAAAAGTGACCAAAAGAGGGACCTTACGACAAGATTTACCAAGCTTTTCCTTCCTGAAAAGATATCAGTTGATTTATTATTAAAGGTATATATATGTATATATCACGTCTGAGTGGTGGTGGTTAAGTTATTCGAGCTCCAACCTCTAGATTTCACGTTGGAACACGCATCCGCCTACTTCAGATTGTGCAGCCAAGTATTATCAATTGCCGTCTCACAAACTGGATTAAATAAGTCTGTATTTAGTGATCATCAGTTGAATTACAAGAGTCCAGTAGTTTGTTAAGAAAAAGTATCTATTTCATGATCTACGTTTCGTTCGTTTATTTATGGTGACACCAATTGGATTATCATCTCTGTGCCCGAACACACGATGCCGAGCCTCTGCATTACTGACATGGTATTGCCACTGGATGTCAGCAATTCTTCGGAGACAACGATGGTCAAACACAGAGAGTCGTCTAACATCCTCAACTCGGAGAGACCAGGTTTCACAAGCATAGAGCAAAACTGCTCTCACCGACGCGTTGCAGATCCGACCTTTTACAGCCAGACTAGCATCACGAAGGCGCCAAAGATGGCCTAGATTGGCATAAGCCGCTCTGGCTTTCACTATTCGTGCATTGATCTCATCACTCACACCTCCACCAGCACTTATGCAGCTACCCAGATACACGAACTTCTCGACTACGTCTATCTGCTCACCATCCAGGGTGAGTACAGGATTAGAATCCTGTCAGTCTTGTAGAAGTACTTTGCACTTCGAAGGTGCAAAGCACATACCATACCTACGGACACTGATTGCCAACTGATTAGGTGCGGATTGCATGCCTTGGGCATTATCGCACAGTAAGACAATATCGTCCGCATACTCAAGGTCGAGAAGTCTTTCTCCAGGCAACAGATCCACACCACCATTACTTACATTCATTAGAGCTGTTTCCAGAATGTCATCGATGGCAAAGTTGAAGAGGAATGGTGAGATTGGGCAACCCTGCCTAACCCCACTGCTCCAATGGTACAATGGAGAGAGGTGGTTGTATGCCCTCACTCTGCCTGAGGTGTTTGTATATAGAGCTTTTGGGATGTTAATAAACTTCTCAGGCACACCCTTCTTCAATAGACAATCCCAGAGAAACTTGATTGTTATTTGGAGCGAGAGGAATATTTTTCATAAGTAGATAGTTTATCATGTTTTTGTTTGCGGGGTGAGATACTGCTCGGGTGCCCAAACCGAAGCAGGTGGTTTTCTTATGGGGCCACTCCCCGAACCTTCGACCTAAAGGTCTGATCCACAAGGCAGTGGAGCATCGTGAGGAGATACAGTCCCATGGAAGCCGGTGAATAACGATTGGTTCATACGCCATTTGTTCCCACAGGATACTGGAGCCCATGTGCACCATTGGTTTGGAATCCGGTTAAAGCGCCGGATATTCGCTTTTCGTCCTCTCATTTTTGTGAACAACACCCCCGCCACGAGAAGGCAGTTAGTAGGACTTCTCTGGCAGAGGCTGTATACGCGTGGCCGTGTGAGAGTATTTCAAGACGGAGGGCGAACCCACCCGGCTCTCGACCATACCAGGGCATTCGTAATTTTTCCTAGTTCCGTGTTATATTTTCGAGGTTATGGGTGTTAATATTACGCTACTTATAGCTTTATATTTTATAATTTGTTTATATTTCTAATTATCTTTTATTATTTAACCTTAGTTTTCCATGAACATGTACTGTATGTGTAATTGAAGTCTGTCTGTAAGATAAATATATCTAAACATAAATAAGGTTGTTTTCATAGTAGAATTCTTATATACAACGACTATTTTACACAGTTCTTCCTTTTAACTAACATGTTATTAATCCATCAGAAAACTATACCATCAAACATCTTCATGCACCTTATGTTTAAGTTGAAAATTTAAACCATACTTTATTTAGTATATATTATCTAATGAAAAAAAAATCCTGTACGATCACGATCGGTTCAAGTAAAACTATACCATGCCGACGACATTAAACGATCAATCAAAAGTAAGCTAGCTAGTGTGTGAATGTAAAACACTGTTGCGGATAACTTGTTGGTGGAGCTCATGATTTTCATCATATTTCTTATTTCTAAAGGAATAGATGATGGCTTCCTTGTGAAATAGACTGTTAAGGTCAATATGTTGGGGGAAGGAGTGTTAAGGTTAGGTATATTAAGGTTAAGAGTTAGGATTCAGGAGTTCTAGGATTAGAAACTATAGTCGAGGGGTCTTAGAGTTAGTAGTTAGGTTCTAAAAGATAAAGGAGTAGGAATTATGGTCTGGATTGAATACATAATTATGATCGATATTTAGCAAAAGTTTATTAATGATGTTAAAACTACTAGACCACTGTAGTTTTATCATTATTCTATATTTACACGAAAGACACGTCCCAATTGGCCATTTTTATTGGTTACTTTAAAGTTCATATTGAAGTCGTCGGTTTAGTATAGTTTTACCCCGGTCCATAATTCAATACTCATGAACTGTCTAGTGAAGTCAATAAACAAGGTATTTGAAACAATTTTCTTCTAGAAATTACTTCTTAGCCGCTGATTCAATTATATATACTAGAAAGAATTAAGCTATTGTTACTAAGTATAAACTTATGATGCAAAAAGTAATGTGTACCTAGTTCAATTATACTAATGCTTAAATATTAGATTACTATATTTTTCTGCTAATAATATGGCAATATTTTAGTGACCCTAGAATATCCGACTCCAATTTGATCATGTGACTATCGTTGTCGAAATATACATGTCGCCAATCCTCGTATATAATTATCGACTTAACTCGCATTAGTGAATAACGGAATTAAATAAACCAAATACGAGAATGGATTTTTGAATAAGTATATTTTGTGCAATCGTTGATCGGAAAGCGAAACAAGACAAAATGACGCGCAATGGCGAAGGCGAGTGAGCTAATGAGTTAGATATTCCAGGAACACTAGAGTGGTGAGTCTGACTTCGAACTAAACGCACCCTGCTAATCTACGTAGACGGTGAACATCTCAAACTCTAAGCGTTTGATAGACGAACTAAGCGGCCGACTTAATCGACGAGCAACTCACACGACTCAATCTCTAATCCGACACATTTATCGGAGGCAGTACAAAAGCGATATGGGCATGCTCACATCGAGTTATCTTATCGGTACTTTGTCCTCGTGTCAACTCTACTCATTGATCTATTTGGCGGATCGTTCCATTATGATTGTAACAATTATAATACGATTTAAGTGGAGTCAGATAATGGGTCACTAATATATAACATACAATTATGGCAAATTTAGATTTCCTCAATCCTGGTCGTTTCTAGTTCGAATTAAAATCCATTATTGAAATTTTCTAACATGATTCAAGTACCACGGAAACTGATTGTTGGGAACGTGACCGATGGTGATTACAGTACTAATCAATATTGACAAACAATTCACCTACAAAAAGAAGTGTACACCATTTGTGCTTCTTCCAAGTAATTATTTTGATATAAGAGAACAATAAATGTGATATATGGGAAAAAAAGTATCACTTACACATTTGTATTTGGATCTTTATTTGTGTTTGTAACAGTAGGCGGTGAAACTATTTCTAATTTGTCAGAATCTAAAATTTACAAAACAAAAAGAAATTAGTGCGGCTCATAGACCATGTCAAGATTCTCACACTAAGTTATAGGTTTATTTCATAGTGAAAAGAGCCAGGTTTGGGTCAATCACCCACTGATTTTGCTGTACTTAATTGGTAAATAAATATATGGCGTAATAGTCAGTCAACTGAAGTGTACCTAAGTAAGTGGAAAGAAATATCGAGAAACATAGTGAAGAATAAAATTACGATGAACAAACTTGTATGCAACAACTAGCTATACAATACGATTATTGGTGGATATTTTGTCTAGGAAACACCAAAGGTTATAAAGATATATGAAGTATATCTTATTATTAAGGAAAAACGTAAGCAGTAGGATAAGAAACGCCTTTTTATCATCCTTTCCTACTCTTCCACTGATTTTAGCCCTAAATGATCAAAAACAAATTCCAACATCACCCAAATGACTTTTAATCAAACAAACCTGAAAGAATTGATGTTGATTGAAAACTTGAATGCCCAGGAAAAACATTTAACCAAATAGAAAAGGAATCCAGAAGCTTAAAATGAATTTGTGGTCCACAGTTCAGGTTGTGAGGATAGTTTTCTGTTTGTTTTTGGGTAGATTTCATCTTATTTTCGACCAGAAGTGATTAATAAACTCAATAATAATATCGTGGTCATCTATGAAGGCATAAGAGTTCACAAAGCTGTAGGTTTTTGTAAAGTATCTATCTGGAATTCTAATATGATCTAATCCATATTAATCCCATTCCAGCTCATTAATGTCCAACGAACCATTTTCTTAGACCAGAAAAACTTACGCAAAGTGATCTCATCGAGCAAGGCGAGTAAATATCGGATGGAGTTAAGGACAAGACTAAACTTTGATCCTTCAAGATATGTAAACGTTTATAGGCAACGCCTTTATTTGATAACAGGGTAGGTTCTTAAAACGTCTTTAATCAATGCATGCTATTATATGCTATTAATACGCGTGGACTCTTCACAAGAGACTGGTAGAAACCTATGTTTTCCTGGATAATTTCTGATGAACAATTTTAAGTAGAGAGACTTTTCGTGCAGATGATTTCTCGTTAACAGAGTACTAGATTTCTGTACTTTCACCTTATCAGTTCGAAGAGTAATAAGAGCTTTTTAAATGTACATTATATGACTGGTCTTTTTGTAGAATTAATCATTTTCTAACTCCTAGAATAATGTTATGCTATTTTCTTTCTGGATTATATCTTGGTGGCTACATAGTAAGGAGTTTGAATCTAGCTGAATAATAATTTTAGTAATTAGACTATTAATTCGAAAGCTTGCACACGAATTCAGCACCTCATTAACTTCTTAAAACCTTCAAATATATACTACTATTTGTGGTTACTGTTCAAGATATTTTTTAATTTGTTTTTGAAATACTTCGGCTTCTAAATGCTGATAAAGTTTTGGACAGTTAATTCTTATATTATCACCTGGATTGTAATTTACGGATGCTTAACTGCATTAACCAACTTTCGATAATAGATGATTGACTCCTATTGATTCGGTCAAAGTCGATAAGCAGACTGATCACATTATTATTAGAGCGTTCATGAGGCTCCAACAAACTTTTTATACTCCATACCATAATTCATCCGAACACAAAGGGTTTCAAGTGCTATATTTCTTACCCTTATTCAAGTCCAAGCTCAAAGGTAATTGAACCAATAAATGATCAATCTTATCAAGCTCTAGATATTATTCTCATTGAGTGGTTAAAGGTATATGGGGATTCCATAAGAGAACTATATAAGACCAGATTTTGTTTCATAGATTCTTCAGTGTAAAATAAATCATCAGCACAAGCGCTAAAACGTTGTTTAGTCTGAAACTTTCCTATGACAATTAAGGATATAAACAATTACACAAAGCTTCCCACCAATAACCGTTTTTTATCAATATTCTGAAGAGCAAACATACTTGTCTCATCTGCGGGAATAACAGGTATAATCTTCAGAGTTTTCTGCCCAGTTCCAGAACGATGAGTTGGATACAGCTGGTAACTTTGCCATGGTAAAAGTTTACCAGCTTCAATACTGAAAATACCAAATATTAGTAAGCTTATACATAAAATGATTGTCGTATAAGAGTTTAAAACTACCATTTTGGGTGGGACATATGTTGTCTTTTCAGATCAAAATATTTATCCAATGTTTTAATGCAATTCATTAACCAAGTATACGTTTATGTACTCGATAATGAGACACACCTTCGATCTTGGGGACTATCCTGTATCCTTAACCGAACTATGAGGAGAAGAATTTATTGATTGATTTCGCTGATTCATTTGGCATTTAGAAAAATTCTTAGTACAACCGTGTTATACAAACTCAAATGACAACTTTGTAAAAAGGGAGGTAAAAATCATACGGAAAAAATAAGAATAGGAGCTTTTAAAGGACAAAGTTCAAGTAAAAATATAATCAAGACAGAATTCATTCATTGCTAATAATTAATATAGTGCTTATGAAGAAAGCAATATCATAAACATTTCTATACATTTTGATTATAAACTATGAATAGTAGGGTACTCTACAACTCTATTTAGGAAGTCATAATAAATGAACAGACACTAACATACCACGGTTACCTTTATACAATGACGAATTTAGCGAGTAACAAAAACAGCTACATTCAAATGAGTTAGAAATGTTAACAAAATTCAGAATGATTTTCCTTCCTAAATAACAGTTTCAGATCACAGTCTTGTTTGGTCGATTCCAAGTAGTTCATACGTCAGCAGTTAAAAGTGTTCCGAAAGAAAACTGGTATGCTTCATACAAGCAAATGTTTGACGTGTTCCATGACTTTTTAAGTATAATGGAATCTATTATTTGGTAGCATAATTGTAACTGAGCGAAGGTCACATGGATTACACAGGCTTTTTTATGGTTGCTACAGTAATTATTCGACTCATGAGTGTTAGTATACTTCATCTTGTCATAGCCTTCCGAATAATCCTGTAAGTTTCCTGACTAGAATACACCCTTTATCTTTTTAGAGGGTCTATTATTTTATTATATTGAAGGTAGAGTAGAACTGAACGGGTGATTAAGCTAGTGATTGATAGTCGAGTATTGAAACCACTGGTTTGTATAACATCGTCAGTCCAATGAGAACCAACTACTTACTTACTTACGCCTGTTACTCCTAATGGAGCATAGGCCGCCGACCAGCATTCTCCAACCCACTCTGTCCTGGGAATGAGAACCAAGCCAATATAATATACCTAGATATTAGTTTCCTTGCACAACTGAACAAAAAATGTTTATTTATTTATTTGAACACAAATATTGGTACAAGGGGGCACCAGATACATATGCGCCACACAATAACAATGAAAATGGCAAGAGATAAAAAAGTAAGGTGCGTGTAAAAAGAAAAAGGGAACAAATAACGACCACAAATTAGTGTATGACAGTGGAATAATAATATTAATAATAGGGGAAACAGGAAGACACAACCAGAAAGAATTCTTTCAGCTAAAGAAGTTACGATCACTTTTAAGAAGAAAGTAAAAGAAGGTTACAGCAGGATTGCCACTGGCTTCTATTCTAAGCCATATCTGATAACGTCTCTAGCCACTGTGTTGCACCATCTCTCGGACCCCAACCACGGAGTCGTGAAGGACCAACACAAGCCAGACCTCTGCAGCTTTCTTTCATACCACGACACCATGTCATACACTGACCACCTCTTCGCTTCTTTCAACCAGTCTCAGAGTCGGCAAATAATGCACGACGTGGGATTCTCTGGGACGACATTCGTAGAACATGTCCAAGCCACTGAAGTCGGTGTTTCAAGATGGTGACACCAATTGGATTATCGTCTCTGCGCCCGAACACACGATGCCGAACCTCTGCATTACTGACATGGTATTGCCACTGGACGTCAGCAATTCTTCGGAGACAACGATGGTCAAACACAGAGAGTCGTCTAACATCCTCAACTCGGAGAGGCCAGGTTTCACAAGCATAGAGTAAAACTGCTCTCACCGACGCGTTGTAGATCCGACCTTTTACAGCCAAATTAACATCACGAAGGTGCCAAAAAATGTTACTATTCGTCTGACTGTATATGCTATTTTACTAAACATGAATATCCTATTTTTCATTGAAGAAATGTTCTAACTCCTTCAGAATCACTGGTCGATGTAGAAACAAAACTGTCACCGATTCGAACTTACACACTAGCGCATAATTATCAACTGTAGTCTTGAAACTGCTAGATTGCCTAATTACTTTACTCTTCAACAACTAGACAGATAGCATTATGTATTGTTAGGATGTGCAGAAAAATATACCAGTAATTATCATGTTAAGTCTAATGGTGGCCTTGGACTTTAAATGTACACTCCCTATTGGTCGATATTTATTTCACTTGTTAAATATTGTGTAAATGTTGTTTTCTATTTTATGGTACGATGTGGTCTGGTTGATTGGTATATAAATAGAGTATGTCTGAAATATAATCATTCATATCTCAGAGGCTGTGACTTGCGTTCTGGACTCAACTGGCTGAGATAGACAGCGAAACAGGGCCAATCAAAACCCTAGGCCATCCTTGCGTGTTTTACGTGTCACTGAATCGATCGATTAAAACTCTGCTCCATCTAAACTGCAGTCTCACACGTTACAACATGTATAGAAAAAATGAGAGGAAAAACAGCATAAAAACGAAGTGGAAAGTACTGAAAATAAAAAAACATAAGATCTTCAGTATTTTCTGATCGACTTTCTATCATGATCTCCACCAACGGATTTTTTCTATTATCGGTGATCCTAACTGCACGCTTGCAACTAGTCTCCATGGATTTAATTGATTACATAGAATTTAGTTAACGCCAGGAAACAGATTGTTCGTCCTGATTTTGTTATGACGTTCTTTGTTCGAGACTGACAATTGTACACAAGCAAGAGCTAGACCGATTCACATCCACGAGCATTCATATATATATAATCTCCTTAGAAAATAAAATCTTTGGTTGGTCAACTGTATCAGATTCATCGGAACAAAGTTTGTTGTATCAATATATTCTAAAAAATACAATTTATCCCCAACTCCTAAATACAGAGCACTGTACTGATAAAAAGTTATAAGTTCACAGATAGTGTAAACTTGCTTCCGAATTTTTGAATATTTATGCTTTTAAGAGGCTGGATTTTATAATTTTAATGAACACATACGAATAATCAGAACGGTACTATCTATTATCTGTCTAAATACCATTCAGTATAAAAAGTGACTAGTTTACAGAACACAAAATTACCTTTCAGTAATCCAATTTGCAGTGACTAACTTCTCATCTGAGAGTTTATTTAGTTTTCCATAAGGTAAACGACTGGCAATCACATGAGTAACTGCTGATCGACTGTAGTATGCTTGGTAACGACCTCCATGGCGTATTATTAAATCTCGTAAGACCAAAGCAGGTGGGTCTATAAATACTAATAATACTAAACTGACTGATTATCCAACCTGTGTAACCGTTCACATAAATAGAGACACCACTGAATAATGATAAACCAGATTCGCCTTGTTCATTGAATTGCTTTTCCAATTTCGATATCTTAGCACGCATATATCCACCCTGATTATAGTAACAATGATAATAAAAGATTATTAAAATCAATACAAAAAACAATAACCAAATTAAGTAAGCATGAGAAAGAACAGACAATATGATGAGATTTCGTTGAAGTCCATTTTAAAAAATCCAGTTGACTAGACACTGAAATGATTAAATGACTGTATGGTTATTTTGTTTTACACTTGGTGACTAAATAGCAATGTGCAAGTTGAATTGTCTTTTGGGATCATATTTGAAAGTTATGTTTACCGATGTTTTACTAAAAACTCATGAAGTTTAAGACTGTTACGGAACTCGAAAACAATGATAGGTATTCCATAATAATTAACCGAAAAAAGTTCTTGCCTACTCATGAATGGACTGTTATTAAGCACTAAATAAGAAATATAAGCACAAAGATTCAATGCTAATAATTTTGATATGAGGTGAGGTTCCGAGATTAAATCCGTGATAAGTCAGTCAGTCAGCTACAAAGTACGACCAGGCACATATATGCATCGGTCCAAGTTGCCATACCTCATTAACACAACAAGATGGACACCGGATTCATAAAAGTAGTTAATTCAGTTGTGGCAATAATATAAAAGAAAGATTGCAATAAGGATAGAGTACAGGAAGGAAGAATTAGTTCGTAGAAAGAAAGATATGAAGCGATTTTAATCTCTCAGTTTAAGGGAAGACATTGAGTGTATACATCTACGCCATTGTTATTACTATTATTTTAACACATAGATATTGGTACAAGGAGGCACGAAATACATATGCGCAACACAAATCTTATTCGATATGTGTGAGGGCTGTGATACTGCCTTGGTGCCCAAACCGAAGCAGGTGGTTATCTTAGGGGGCCACTCCCCGAACCTTCGACCTAAAGGTCTGATCCACAAGGCAGTGGAGCATCGTGAGGAGATGCAGTTCCAATGGTAGTCGGTGAGCAACGATTGGTTCATACGCCATTTGTTCCCACAGGATACTGGAGCCCATGTGCACCATTGGTTTGGGATCCGGTTAAAGCGCCGGACATTCGCTTTTCGTCCTCTCATTTTTGTGAACAACACCCCCGCCACGAGAAGGCAGTGAGTAGGATTCCCCTGGCAGAGGGAAGTGATCGATTCTGAGTCATGTCACCAAGAGTCTCTAACCATTGGTTACGATAGTCATTACGAATCTGTGATAATCTTTTTTAGAAATATACTGTTGAGTTGTTTTTTTGGTTTACACCGGAAAACCATCCTCAAAATTAAATGCCTAGAAAACTAGTTTGTTTCGCTGACTACTAATAAGTAGACTAACTTTCGTTTCGTATTTTTCGGAAATTTAAAAGAATATCAAAACACTGGTAGAACTTATAGTCTATAAGCTATATTGAACCTTTGTAATGCTGTTTCTTCAGCCTTCCTTCGAGATACTAACAAATTCAACGAATTCAAGATAACTCTCAACAACAGGTCTCAAGCCTTACAAGATCTACTGAAGGAAGAAGAAACTACTATGGAGGACAACTGAGAAGGTATCAAAGAAGCATTAACTTCAACGTGTCAAGAGGTTCTGGGCCTCAAGAAGCATCATCATAAGGGATGGATCTCTATAGAAACATTGGACAAGATCAAAGAAAGGAAGAACAAGAAGGCAGCAATTAACAACAGCCGAATACGAGCAGAGAAAGTCAAGGCACAAGCTGAGTACACAGAAGCAAACAAGCAAGTGAAAAAGAGCATCAAAGCCGACAAGCAGAAATACGTGGAAATACTAGCAAAGACAGAGGAAAAAGCTGCAAGGGAAGGAAATATGAAACAACTATATGATGCAACGAAGAAACTAGCGGGGAGATATAGTAAACCAGAGAGACCAGTCAAGGACAAAGAAGGCAGGCCAATCAATGAAATTCAACAACAGAGGAACAGATGGGTAGAGTACTTCGAGGAACTCTTGAATAGGGTGGCTCCAATGAACCCACCGAACATCGAAGCAGCACAAACAGACCTTCCTATAGATGTCATTCCACTAACTACCGAAGAAATCAGAATGTCCATCAGACAAGTCAAGAGCGGGAAAGCAGCAGCAGGACCCGACAATATACCAGCTGAAGCACTGAAGTCAGACATCGAAATAACTACAAACATGCTTTGTCTTCTATTCAAGATTTGGAAGGAGGAACAAGTGCCGATGGACTAGAAAGAAGGACACCTCATCAAGATTCCAAAGAGAGATCTGAGCAAATGTAAAAACAACAGAGACATCACACTACTGTCAGTGCCAGGGAAAGTCTTTAACAGAGTGTTGCTAAATCAGGTGAAAGACGCAGTAGACGCCCAACTTCAAAATCGACAGGCTGGATTCCGTAAGGATCGGTCGTGCACAGACCAAACTGCGACACTACGGATCATCGTCGAACAATCAGTTGAGTGATACTCATCGCTATACACCAACTTCATTGATTATGAAAAGGCGTTTGACAATTGCTGTCTTCTTGTTCTTCCTTTCTTTGATCTTGTCCAGTGTTTCTATAGAGATCCATCCCTTATGATGATGCTTCTTGAGACCCAGAACCTCTTGACAAATTGAAGTTGATGCTTCTTTGATACCTTTGACATTACGGAAACCTCATAGACGCTATGGAGTTCCTGAGGAGGTTGTCAACATAATCCAGAACTCATACGACGGACTACAGTGCAAAATCGTGCATAGAGGACGGCTGACGGATGCATTCCAAGTAAGCACGAGAGTCAGACAAGTCTGTCTACTCTCTACCTTCCTCTTTCTTCAGGTAGTCGACTGGACTATGAAGATCTCGGCATCTAAGGACAAACACGGAATACTTTGTACACCTCAGAACCAATTAGACGATTTGGACTTCACAGATGACCTAGCCCTCCTCTCGCATACACACAAACAAATGCAGGTAGAGACAGCCAGTGTAGCAGCAGTTTCTGCATCAGTGGGCCTCAACATACAGAAGGATAAAACCAAGGTCCCCAAATACAACGTGGAGAACACCAATCCAATCACACTCGATGACGAAACTCTGGAAGATGTAAAATCCCATACGTACCTGGGAAGCATCATCAACGAACAAGGAGGATCAGATGCAGACGTAAAGGGGAGGATTGGAAAAGTAAGGGCCGCATTCCTACAATTGAAGAACATATGGAACTCAAAACAACTGACTGCCAATCAACACCAAAGTCAGAATCTTCAATACGAACGTCAAGACCGTCCTACTGTGCGGAGCTGGAACGTGGAGAACTACTACAACCATCATCAAAATGATGCAAGTATTTACAAATAGTTGTCTAAACAAGAGACTCAATGTCCGATGATCGGATACCATCAGCAACAGCTCCTTGTGGGAGAGAACAAACCAGCTTCCAGCTTAAGAGGAAATTCGGAAAAGACGATGGAAGTGGATAGGACATACATTACGCAAATCATCAAACTGCATCATGAGGTAAGCTCTAACATGGAATTGTGAAGGAAAGCGGAAAAGAGGAAGGCCAAAGAACACATCACGTCGGGAAATAGAAGCAGATATGAAAATGGTGAATAACAAGTGGAAAGAGCTGGAAAGGATTGACCAGGACGGGATTGGATGGTGAGTGCTGGTGGCCGGCCTATGCTCCTCGACGAGTAACAGGTGTAAGTAAGTAAGAAGTTCCAGAACAAGGTTAGATGGTGTGCTTGCATTGTAACCCGGCAAAATACTAACTGAAAGTTCGAAGCAAAATGATGTCTTTAATTTCTGACCAAACAAATGACAGTGACTACTGAACATAACCACAGATTTACACAACAGTCTTCCATAAAACAAGTTTATTGGGAAATTCTCAGAAGAGTGTAAAATATACGGAGTATACCTCCATGCACTTGGGAAAATACAGACTATAGAAATATAAAATGACTAAAGTTTAAAAACTTTTGACTGCTGCAATTGCCATGTGTCTATCGTTAAACTACCATGGTAACAAAATTTTTTTAGGTGAAATAATCAATCAGGCAAAAGGATTGAGTAGTCAGATAGAGACATTCAGTAGGATACTGTGGAGCTAGACTTCGTGCTAGTTGTTACTCGTCACCAAATGATGGCTGCAATCTTGAGGAAACCCATGCTCCCCATGAGACTCGAACCCCGCCCGATCTACTTCGGTTTGGGTAACCAGGTTGGATCGTTATCCTTTAAGTTTGGAGAGTCGCCTTATTTAAAATACACAAATTTGTGCTAGGCAGTGGGGTTGTGGAGTACGGAGACAGTTTAGTTCCTCAGAGTTGTAAAATCTATATAAGAGCAAACATTATATCATCTATACATACAGGACTAGATCTAAACCCGGTCTAGTTTTTTCAGCCTCATTGTTGCCAAGTTCTGATTAAGAGTCAGATGATAATAGTTTAGGCTCTATATTAGTCAAACTAATGCCTCGGAGGCAATCATGGAATGATTTCCTACCTTTGATAGCTGTACAAATCACAAATCGAGGTTAGTCCGAGTCACGTTTGACTCTATATTTATTTGCTGAGTAATTCCAACCTTGGCAGAAAAACGAAATTGTTCTGCATAAATCTGTATGTCTAAATATCGTGATACAAACTAATTTAGTCTAAAATACATTTCGTCTGATAATTAACTAGAGCTCGAATAAATAAATCCCTAGTATAATCTTACAGCCATCAAAGGTGGTACAACTATTGACAGTATATGTGGAGTAAAGAACAAAAGTAGACGCTGTGTATATTTTAAAGTTGCTTAACCGTATAACGAGCCAGTTACGGAGTAGGCTTTGTTTTTATTCCCATTTTTGCTTGATAGCAATGTAGCTACTATTCAGTGGCTTATAAAAGTAAAATTATATGAAAAGAAATATTTTCAGAGAATACACTGAAATATGTTTGGAAGTTAATATAGAACACATAATATCTCCACGGCTATAATGATGATGTCTCACTCTAGTATTTTAAGATAAGTTACAGTAAAACAAAACGTTATATAAACGCAAAATGCAGGATTTATTACAGAAATAATAATGGAACAGTAGGACTTTTGATTATGTTTAAAAGTTTACTACTTATTGTAGCACACAATATCTGGTAAACTATAATATATTGTTAACAGAAACTTACATATCCTGACCATCCATCGTCTTTGTGGTTTCCTAGGTAACCACGCGACATTTCTTATACCCAGTATTAGTCAACTGTCCGTTTTTATGAGCATACACCAGTGAACGCAGCTAAAAAAGTACGCAAGAAAAAGATGAGAATATCAAAGTGAAATGACATAAGACACCATGTGTCCAAAAAGAAGCACTGAATTCTTGATATTTTCTTACATCTAAAGATCTGTATGAGGATACTTAATCCAGACTGAACTAGTAGTACATTTGTCCACACAAATCTGGGATAATAAACACCACTAACTGCTACATATTCGGGCATGGAATTCCGAGTTAGATTTGGGACGAGACGAAGGCCTTAAGCACTGATTTGTACCAAATATGATATTATTTTGGTTAGATGCTGTACAGCTTTCAGGAAAAAAGAACTGCAGTAAAGAGAATTTTCAATTGAGATTTTTCTGGTTTTATGGCCAGCAATACTACATTTATATATGTAAGAGCTTACATACGTTCGACATTTTTACCGAGCCATAACTACATTTCACTTGCAAAAGAAAGCAGTATTAATATCCTGGGATAAAAGTAGTTTCAGGGTGAATAGATGACCTTGTCATTATATTGATGTCCATGCTGAAATCGAAAGATATTCATTTTGTTGAAAAATGATAACATTGGAAACAAATTCGAAAGTCTTTTTAAGTCTTCCACATAAGGTTGTACTCGGTAACGCGTAAAAAGACGGAGATTATGGGAACAAAATATTATGAGAAACAAAACATAACAGAAACCTGGTAAACTGTGAAAGTAAAACATCTGGCCCAGTGTAGATTACTTTAATGTTCATCTGTCGGAAGCTTATTTTATCATAAACTTCAAGTGAGGGTAAGTGAACCTATGAAAACATCTTTGAAAGATGGAACTGAATTCAATGAACTGCAGTTCCACATTGTTAATTGGAAGAGCGAAAGGAGAAAATATACGCTAAATTATCTACATCATTTAAAAGTATCTGTGAAGCTTCCAGGTCATTTGACATTTTTATGAAAGTATGCACAGTTAATAGCACTGGACATTTAGAGATTACTCTGATCTTTCTGGATTCAATTAGTTCTTTCGGCTAACTTACATGTGCATCAGCCAATGAAAAATAGGACAAGGATGGGTCTATAGATATTATAGGTACCTTGAGTAATATCATGCGACTTATCACTAGCGCGAGAATCACGACAAACCAATTTTGTGTAACTCACTACTTGAAACTTTGCTCAAGGTTTGCTTAATATCCAATGTCTTTGAGACGAACAAGGATGGGTTGTTTAGTTTTTGGGGCCGCGATCGGCCGTAAGAAAACGATCTAGATCTTTGATGTTCTTAAGTGCGGTCAGTTCAGTTATTCAGCTACAATGTTCCTTGTGAATGGACCTGATATTTGAAAGTTATTCCGCCCATTTCTATGTAGTCAAATTATTGATCTTATGCTCCTCCACCTGAGTCTAAACCAGAAATGTTTTCCTTACATACCTTCTCCCATACTTTTTGCTACTTTTCCAAACACAATGTGTTAGGGGGGTCAGTAAAAGCGTCATCCAATTCAGTACTGATAATTGCTTAGTGGAGTGTCCCAGGGTACAGTTTTGGGACCAGTGCTATTCCTCTTGTATGTAAATGACCTTCCTCGTCTCCTATCATCATCGGTCTTGCTATATGCTAACGATTTCAAGATACGGAGAGAGATACTATGTAAGGGTCATAGTTTAGAACTCCAAAATGACCTGAAGAAGTTATCTGAATGGTCTCAAACATGGCAGTTGCCGATAAATACTTCCAAGTATGTTGTGATGCATATCGATCATCAAGGTACAGATAGATACGTGATGAATAACATTGAGCTTACTGTTGTCTAGACACACAATGACTTAGGAGTCATCCTTAGCCAAGACTTAAAGACTACAGCACACTGCCGTGCAATAGCCGCCAAAGGTTTTGAAACCTTATGGTCAATACGTAGGGCTTTTAGTAATGTCGACGCTAAGAAGTTTTTGACTTTGTATACAGTGTTTGCACGTCTTAAACTTGAGTACTGCATACAAGCGGCTAGCCCCTGATTGAAAAAAGACAGTGAGCTCCTGGAAAAGGTCCAGAGAAAAGCAACTAATCTGATTACCGGAATAGCGAAGCTTCCGTATGATGGACGACTGGCCAAGCTGAACCTATTCCCGTTTTCATATTGAAGAACTATAAGCGACTTGATTACAGTTTTCAAATTGCTTAGTGATAAATTTGCACCTGATATGCCCCCATTTTTCTTGTCTCCCAAAAGAGAATTTACGAGGACACTCCAAAAATGTTCACAAGCCCAGGATAAATTACTTGTCAGCTGACTATCGACTTTCCCATCGAATCATCAACTAGTGGGATTCATTACCTCAGCACGTGGTTGAGGCTCCATCCGTCGACTCTCAAAAGAAGGTTGAATCAACTGAGAGACCATCATTGTCAGGACTAACACTGGCAATCAAGCTTCCTGTCCTTCCCAAACTGAAACTAAAGTTTGTGAACGTCAGTTATTGCCCACAGGATTCCTCCAAAACACAAATGCTTACAGTTCACAATACTTCCCAAGATATGGGATGTGCAAACTCAATATGTGATGTACTAGTTGAAGTCATTACTTACTAACGCCTGTTACTCGTCGAGGAGCATAGGCCGGCCACCAGCACTCACCATCCAATCCCGTCCTGGTCAATCCTTTCCAGCTCTTTCCACTTGTTATTCACCATTTTCATATCTGCTTCTATTTCCCGACGTGATGTGTTCTTTGGCTTTCCTCTTTTCCGCTTTCCTTCACAATTCCATGTTAGAGCTTACCTCATGATGCAGTTTGATGATTTGCGTAATGTATGTCCTATCCACTTCCATCGTCTTTTCCGAATTTCCTCTTAAGCTGGAAGCTGGTTTGTTCTCTCCCACAAGGAGCTGTTGCTGATGGTATCCGATCATTGGACATTGAGTCTCTTGTTTAGACAACTATTTGTAAATACTTGCATCATTTTGATGATGGTTGTAGTAGTTCTCCACGTTCCAGCTCCGCACAGTAGGACGGTCTTGACGTTCGTATTGAAGATTCTGACTTTGGTGTTGATTGGCAGTCAGTTGTTTTGAGTTCCATATGTTCTTCAATTGTAGGAATGCGGCCCTTACTTTTCCAATCCTCCCCTTTACGTCTGCATCTGATCCTCCTTGTTCGTTGATGATGCTTCCCAGGTACGTATGGGATTTTACATCTTCCAGAGTTTCGTCATCGAGTGTGATTGGATTGGTGTTCTCCACGTTGTATTTGGGGACCTTGGTTTTATCCTTCTGTATGTTGAGGCCTACTGATGCAGAAACTGCTGCTACACTGGCTGTCTCTACCTGCATTTGTTTGTGTGTATGCGAGAGGAGTGCTAGGTCATTTGTCAGTTATCCTCCTCACCTCATGTAGCCGTCCATCAGAATAATTCATGATAACGAATCAAACTTACTCAATACGGCTCTAAATAAAATCACTGAATGAGCGTTATGGATTTATGAAATAGTACTTTCGTGACGGCTTTATTTAAACTTTTCATTAAGATCGATGAGATTTAATTGTCTTATTTATACCACAATATTCTGGGCTATATATAAAGGCTATATTAAAAGAGGAAAATAAACAGAAATATTAGACAGGCGCATTCACAATCAGAAACTCATTTTGGTTTTCAAGGAACTAGTATGGGTTAAAGCATCACGCCTGCCATTCCTTCTTACATCTCTCTACAGGCCCCCAGTATTTTGATACTAGACGTCTCAAACTTACTCTCGTGTTGTTGAAATCTAAACCTCCAAACGGTTGTCTGATTCGTGGGACAGCTTTCACACCATAACAAGCCCAGCACAGAGCTGTTAAAACTTTATCAGCTGTTCTCATATTTCCTCAAATCTCTTTTCCTTGGTATCTTGATGAGGTGTCCTTCTTTGCAGTCTGTCGTCACTTGCTTTCCCCCACCCAAAGAGGAGAATCAAAAGTTGGGAATCAGCAGGACATTCCATTTGCCCATATTGTTATTGCCTTGGTTGTTAGAAGAGATACTGGCCACGTGATTTCCGAAGAATCTAGACCTTTACCGTTGGGCGTAATGGTACCTTCAAGTGGAGATGCTTCAACTCCCAATGCACAATGTAATTGGCTTCAATTTATTTTCTGACTAGTGTTGTTTTATTATGGTTGCCTTTGAACGATGAGGTTGCTGACTGTGTCTGATCCCGCTCCTTTATTCGTACTTGGAATAGGCAGAAGACCTATAAATTTTGCAGGCTGAATTATCAAACCGTTATTGATTTATGGTAACTGTCTTTTGTAACCTGTGTCAAAAATTCACAAATAATTGCGACAGTTGACAATGATAAGTTAAAATTATTTAAGTACACACAGCAAACTTGAAATCTGTTCCTTAATCACAGTTGTTAGTTGCTGAATCCATTTGAAGTGACTTAATATCGCTCATCCATCTATGTCAACAAAGAATACTAGAGATATTGTTTTATACGATGTGTAAAGCGAAAAAACATGGTAGGAATTATACACGCTAAATGGAGTTGATTAACACGATACGTTTTGACAAAGCACCAGCGGTACCAAACCACACCACTGTACTCCATGATGTATGTTTTAAAACCTTTATATCAGGGAATCATCCTCCATCTATTCCTCACTTCAAGACATTCTTTCAACATCTCTTACGGCCAGCCCATTGTTCACTCACAAATCTACTGTTCTTATAAGCTTGGAGTGATATTGGTTCCCAATTACAGGATTCTTGAAGCTGAACTTATAATTGCTGAGGAGATTGACACTCAACATGTAACACTTAGGGGAGGCCGGTAATGGTGAATGCCGGAAGGACCATTCGGGATGGCGTGGTTCAGCCATTCAGATGTGATCACTCTATGTAACTTCGTGTTCATGTGTTGAACATATTATCATTACCCAGCCCAAAATGTTCCTCAGAAGTGTCTGATGTTATCTTGCTGATTGACAGAGTAGTCATACATTAACGATTCCTCCATGAACATTGTCTGCTCTGCCCCTCGTCTTTTCTTTTCTTACACCCTTTTCAGCTCCCTTGAGATATGCCACCGAAAATAGGTATGCACCGGGTGACTTCTTCCTGAGCCGTCATTAAAGTCTCACGTGTTCCAGAGAGATATAAGGTTGAGGTTTCTAGAAGCCCCTAACTCCACATGGATATGTTCCCGACCGTCAGTTGCACGTCGCAACGTAACTTTCATAAAGCGCGCTAACTGTGATGTTGACAACATGGGTCTTACTAAAACCATCTACATTCATATCTTATAAAATATCAATCCAACTGAGTAATTAGCTACGGTGAAATTTGTATCTTTTGTAACAAATTGATCTTGCCTGTAAATGGCATACCTCATGTAACAAACTGTCATTTGAGAATGAATTATTATTAAATAAACCATTTTATGATGCGTCAATAATTGTAGTCTTTAAAACCAGTATTTTCCGAAATCCGACATATTCAGGGAAGTTTCTAGATTTTAAGTCTGCGCATCCACATCCTACCAAAGTGACAGTAGCCAAAAATTTGATCACCAGAGTCAAAAAAAACTTGTCACAACCAAATGATGTAAAAATGGACCTGAATTTATTTGTATCCACTCTAATGATGAATAATTATCCGAAGGATTTTATTAAAAGAATAATTAAGAATGAAGAACAAAATGACATTATTAAAAAAATAGTGGATTAACACAGTGGTGATCCCATATCGTAAAGGTATTTTAGAAGAGATCAGAAGGATTCTAACTCTTCAAGATATAAAAGTATTCTTTCAGGCAAACAATACTCTAAGATCAAAACTAGTGAGAATCAAAGATCCAATACACAAGGAAGAACAACAGAGTTGTGTTTATGAAATCAAACGTAATGACTGTAATGCGACGTATGTAGGTGAAACATCAAGGCAACTGAATGTGAGGGTGAAGGTGTAACAGCTTAGGTTTGTTGGTTAAGAGTTCACCTCATGCAACTAAGCATATGTCAAAACAGTATAGTTCAAGCATTCATTCACTTCCTTATTTTGTATAGGTTTTACATCTCCTATTATCTTATATTGAATGTTGAGAGGCTTTGTTTGTCTGAACAAATATCCCACGCTCTACTGTGACTGCGCGACGATTTAAATAAAGGCCTATTCACTACCTGTCTGGATTCTTCTG